AGATGAGAACATAAACCCTTATATCTTTTTTTTTTTTTTTTTTTTTTTTTTTTTTTTGATTTTCGAGACAGGGTTTCTCCATAGCTTTTGGTTCCTGTCCTGGAACTAGCTCTTGTAGACCAGGCTGGCCTCGAACTCACAGAGATCCACCTGCCTCTGCCTCCCCAGTGCTGGGATTAAAGGCGTGCGCCACCACCGCCCGGCAAACCCTTATATCTTAAATTATCAATTTATGAAGAGAGAGAGAGAAATGTGTGTTTTATGTTGGTGGTGTACAAAAAGAAATGGAGGAGTTAATAAAAGATTGAAAGAGGAATGATCCGTTAGTTGGAGGGGAATGGACTAAACCCAGAATTGTGTAAGACTTAAAAAGGCAGGCCTGAGAGATTGAAGACTGGAGTTGTCTTCATAGAGGAAATTATTTTTAAAGCGGAATGTTTGACTTTTGAAACATTTTGAGCTTCTTAGATAATAAGAGTCAAAAATGACAAAGAAAGAGCTTTGAAGACCTGGTATGCTGCTGCCTTCCTGCAATCCAGCACTTGGTGGGAGGGAGGACAAGCAATTCAAGGCCAGTCTCTGTCACACAAAACAGTCCAAAGATAGGAAGGGGGAAACTGGAAACAAGGGTGGAAAGACCTTTAAGATCACTTTGTCCGCAGTTAGTGTCCGATAAGGTTGAAAAGTCTGAAAACAAAAACACCTTGTTTTTTAAGAGGGAAGTGTTGATAAACTTTTGGGAATTGAAAAAGATGATGTTTGGGAAGTGGCAGACATGCATTCATACATATTTGTTTGGTAATCTGAAGGAAAAAGAATTCTTAGAATATTTATCACAAAAAAGTTAATGGCTACAGTGGCCTTACACTTTTTAAAATTTTTTTATGGTTTATTTAACTTTTTATTTTATGTGCATTGGTGAGAAGTGTCAGATCCCCTGGAACTGGATCTTCAGACAATTGTGAGCTGCCATGTGGGTGCTGGGAATTGAACCCCAATCCTCTGGAAGAGCAGTCAATGCTCTTAACCACTGAGCCATCTCTCCAGCCCCAGCCTTACACTTTTTTATTTTAATTTTTAAAAAGGATTAATTAAATTTTGTATATATGTGCGTGTGTCTGTGTGGGTATGTACAGTGTGAATGCAGTTGTATATGGAGGCCAGAAGAAGACATGGAATTCCCTGGATTTAGAGACTGTTGTAGCTATGCAACTTGAGTTTTGGGAACTGAACTCTGGTACTCATCAAGAGTAGTATGTACTTTTAACCACTGAGCCATCTCTCCAGCCCCATACTTCTGATATTTACCAGTCCCTTAATGAAATTCTTTTAAATATTTACCTGAGGATGAAAATTTGAAGACTTAGTCTCGAACCTACTTTTGAGGCTTTTTATTGTTCTATGTTTAGATTTCTGTTTTGTCCAGACTATACTGTTACCCTGGCACTGATTTATTTGGGAACTTTATTTGTATTTTGAACTGAAATTACTATAGAAAAATCACTGTGTTCTAAATTTTATATGATAAATACATCTTGCACAATTTCTTAAAATATGCCATTTTAACTATGATTAGTGTCTGTTTATTTTCAGTAGCTTAAAGAAAAATTTTATTGGCAAAATTAGTAATGGTAGGTTAAGGTATAAGACATTGCATACCTTGCTCAGTGCTTCTTCATGATGGATTACTGAAATTATAGATCAATCTTTAGTCATCAATCATTGAATAGATTTGATATATGGAGTATAGTGACTTGAGAAAATCCAAGACCAGTTCTTGAGTGATGGCTAGTAATTATCTGAACTTCTAGATTGAGAGGTTTGATTATCAGCAAGCAATAGAACAGAGTTTTCTCAGCGTGAAAGGAGAGGGGACACGTTGTGCTCTTACCTACAAAGAGACTAAGAGACCAAGCAGAAGCAAAGCAGTTTTTAAAGAACCCCATATACATATATACATCCATATCTATATGTGGATGTATTTTAAAAATTTAAAACCAAGCATTTGAAAGAAAAAAAGTTTGTGCCTATTAAGCAAGACTCTGGAAGCCAAATGACAGTTTGGAACTATTTCATCACCAGTGTTTAACCAGCATGACTTCCGTGTCATTTACTCTTTTCTCATAAGTCTTGTATTACTTAATAGAACTTTGTAGTTAAAAAAATAATTTAAGTAGTAATGTTAAAGAATAAAACCTGTATTTTTCACTGTTAACTTGAACCGTACTGCCCTAAATGAATGGCCAGCACTGTATTTCTGTATGAAGAATGAGGTGTGAATTTGGTATTGGAAGCATTCTTTAGCATGAGTGTTAACTACTGTTCTACATAGTGTAGATGATTAGATTCCTTTACATGCTTCGAATAGTTTAGGTATTTAGTCCTTGTATGGTTATGGCTATATAAATGCTGTTCACAGCCGATTTATGTTGTATAATCTGATAGTTCCCTTTTTCCTATCATCTCCCCAGAAGTACTGACATGCTTTTACTAAATTTGCTTTTTTTTCTTTAAGTACAAAATCTTTCCAGTTACAGTGTATACTTGAGACTTTCAAAGACTGATCATTAGGTATGAATTTTACCTTCTGTCAGGCTCATGACCTTCTGATAACCTTCCATCTAGACTGGTTCCCCTGCGTTCCTTTTTTTAGCTGTCGTCCTGAAGCTACTCTTTCTAGACAGAAGATAGAGTCCCTTTGATCCTTCTATCTCAGAACCATATTGCTGTAATTGTAGCTTCATAGGTTAGTCAGTCCTTGTGTGCATTAGAACTGTCTTTACTAGCACTAGCCTACTTTTATTTTTTCAAAAGGTATCCATCCTTGTAGTTTCTGGATGTGGTTTTAAAATCTACCTTATATGTCAATATTTTGAATTGTGTTAAAAATGACATTTTTTCAAGTAAAGCAGTTGTCTTGATATTGGCAATCTCAAATAGTTTGATTTAATAGTTTTCATGTTAAGTTTCTATATTTATTGCAAGTAAGGACTTATATAACATTTTATAACTAGGAATGTAATTTTTAATATCTAATTTGTAATAGTTAATTCCTTTATATTTTACACTTATGTGAACTCATATGTATATGATAAACTTATTATTTGTAACTCATAATAATTTTATTGTTACTTTTCCACTTTGGTACTTTTTTAAAATTGAAAATAGATATTCCCCCCATACAGTATTTCTGATTATGGTTTTCTCTTCCCTTTTCTCTTTCCCAACTCTGCACCCACTCAATTCCACCCCTTATCTTTCTCTTTCTCATTAGAATACAAACGGACTTCTAAAAAATAATAATAATATAAAGTGAAAATAAGCAAACCAGAATAGGATGAAACATAAAATGGACTGGGTAGTGATGGCGCACACCTTTAATCCCAGGACTCAGGAGACAGACAGGCTCAAAAAAAAAAAAAAGATAATAATTAAAAGGAAAAAGAACCAAAGAGAAAGCCTAAGAAGCATATGCAAACACATACGCACAGAGAGAAATCCCAGCAAAATTAATATATACACTGAAACTATAAGAGGGGAAAAAAAAAAAAACAGTAATGCCCAGACAAAGCTGTCTAAGACAAAATGCCATTGAGTTCATTTTGTGTTGGCTATCTGCTGATGGGCTTTGAGTCTGTCCTGAAGAGTTGTTATACCCAGTGAGATTCCATTGGGGAAAACTCAGTTTTCCTTTGGAAGCGATTATCAGTTGGAGATAGCTTCTGGGTTAGGGATGGGAGCTTGTGTTGGCTTATGTTCACTTCCCCTCTCAGTGCTGGTACCCCATCTGGCTTAGACCTGTGCTTGCTGCTACAGTCTCTGAGTTCATATGAGCATTAGTCCTTCTGGTGTGTAGAAAGCCTAGTATCCTTGATGTCCTTCATCTTCTCTGACTCTTATAATCCTCTTCTGAAGGATTCCCTGAGCTCTGAAGGAAGAGATTTGATGGAGGCCTCTCATTTAGAGCTGAGTATTCCAAGATCTCTGACTCATTCACTGTACATTGTCCTGTTGTGGGATATTTCTTTTTTTTTCTTTTTTAATTCTTATAGCATATGATACTAGTAACAGTAGATAGCGATGCTGGTCTTGTTTCATGATTATTTTTGTTTTTTTTTTTTATACTAACTTTCTATTATATGGCATATATGTTCCTATACTATATATGTGTGCTTTTCATTTGAAGAATCTTTATAGCTGTGTAAATTTATCCAGTTGTCTTTTAGTGGGAATGGTGATGGTCCTAGGTATGCATTACAAATAAAATAGATTTGTATCTCAACCAGTTTGACAGTCTGCTTTCTAATTTGTCTTAATTTAGAATGAAAGTAACATAAATACTAGGCTAAAAATTTGGTAGAGATTTTTCTATTTCATTGTTATGAGGAACTCCTGAGATTATTTTGACATTAAGATAGCTCAGAGATGTTTGTGTAGTTATTTTTGTTGATTGTTTTGAGCTAAATAATCATAAGGTATTCTATTCTTCCTTGCTAAATTGGTAGAGAATTTTTTGCTTTAGAAGAGCTGTATTTTATTTCATAATATTATCAACCTGTAGTATTTGTACTTATACAGTTTCTGTTACTTCTGGCTGTCAGAATTCTTTATGTAAAAATAGTTACAAGTTTTACGTCCATGCTTTGGAATAATTGATGCAGGTTTTAGAGTTATCTTTAAATATTTGTAAATGTCTTTGACATCTGGACACTTTCTCAGGAGGCTAACTCTGATAACTTTCTGTACCTGCTGTGAGAATTATCAGATGCTGCTTTTGTGAGGTTGTTTTTATTGCACTCTCTAGAAATATTTGTATTACTTGGCAGTGATAGCAATAGAATTATTAGCTTTTTTCCTTTTAAGATATTCATACTCTAAATTTGTGTTCTTGAGATTAGAACAAGAACTTGTTTTTTATTGCCTCAGGTTGTAGTCTATAAGGAGTGTATGTTAATTTCCTTTCTGTGTTGTTCATTGTTGCTGCTGGTTGGTGTCTGCAGGCTTCCTAGTTGGCATGTGTGCTGTAAAGAGAGTTCTTCAGCTTCAGCATCGTATTATCCTCAAGACGACAATTGTGCATTAGAAAGTGAAGACGCACAGTCCCAGAAAAAGGTACCTTAAATGGAATTGACAGTCTTGCTTTCCAAGACTGTCTTAATTTAGAATGAAAGTAACTTGAGAAATACTAGACTACAAATTTGTTGGGGATTTCTGTTTGTTATGAGGAGCTACCAAGGTAATTTTCACATTATGATAGCTCAGAGATATTTGTGTGTTAATTTTTGTTGCTGTATTTCAGATTTTGGTAACATACCATGTTCTACAGTAGGGAATAAGAATGATGTATATTCAATAAGATTGCTCTTTTATTGCTAAAGAGAAATATACTTTTATAAATTAAAAGCTATCAGCAGTAAGTGCTTAGAGAAGTTGTAGTTGGAGGCTTTGTAGTTCCTTAGAAATAATTAGGTGCAGTGAATAGATTTAAAATACCTGATAGTTTTGAAATCATTTATAACTATTATTTCAAATGATAAAGGTAAATATTGTATTTGTCTTTTGCATCCAATTCTGTGTATTTTGAATTATAGAAATAACTAAGGCAACTATAAAACAATCCTCTTTGTATTCCCAAAGGAACTTTAGTTTACTGCTTGTTGTGAATGTTCAGGTGTTTTCCTGTGGGTATAGATATACATTTAAATAGGAACACCTTTCATTTCCATTGAGATAACAAAAATGCTCCACAGAGTGATTTCCTTCTTTTTCCAAGGTATATCCTCATGCTCTTTGATCGTTTACTGTTTCTTCAGAATGGCTACATTTTCGTTTTATTATATAGATACATGAGAATGTATCTTTTTCTTCAATGGATTTTTGTGTTTTTCCTCAGCTTGCCTGCATGTATACCTATATAGGCATGTTAAGCATATGTATTATGACATATTTTTGTTTACATATTTGGAAGCTTGAGATCTGATAATTTGGATAAGATTATTTAATTTTTTGAGTTGTATAAAATTTATTCCTGGGATGGATGATGTAAACTTTTTGAAAATTTGTCTAAATCTTTAAAAATAAAACATAAAATTTTATGCTTTTGTTCAGAGTCCATAAAACTTGTCTTTAACTTCTTCTTTGATAATATATTTAAATATAAAATGGTATAAAATGAATTAAGTAAACATTAAGTGGGGAAAAATTATTTCCGGAAACATTTTGATATTTTGTATATATTAGATAAGCTCAGCTTTAAAAAGGTGAATATAACTTTCCTTTTATGAAATGTGTATCCTAGGAAACATATTTAAAGGCACAGGTGTAGAAAATTTTAATGAGCATATCAAAAGAGAGGTGAAATAAAAACATGTATATTCCATGTAATTATGAAAGTTTTACGTTGTGTCTGATACATACTACTTCGTGATGTTTATTAAACAGCCAAATGAGGTTCTTAAATTCACATTTTATATTTTAAGTGTGGTGGCAAGGATAGGGATAGAAGAAGATAGAAAATAAACATGTAAATATAGTTGAGAATCAAACGCATAGAAGACTGGTTCTATAGCAAAGGAGGAGATAGATTTGATGGCTGATTTTTTTTTTAATAAAATAATTTTCTTAGTCATTTCTTTGTCACAATGTAGGATGAAAGAAAGGAACCTAGTAATGCTGAATTATCAGGAAAATTGAATTCATATTTACCTATCCTTCCAGAAGAAAATAAATTAAAAGATGACTACACTGTGGATGTACAAGTAAGCTTTATATTGCTGTTGCTTTTTATAATATACCTTTGTTATATAGGATGGGATGCCTTTGTTTTCTCTTTCTTTACTCTAAATTACCATATAGCAGAATGTAAAATTAGCAATATAAATAGTAGTATTTGTAATAGTAGTACTGATTTTGAGAAAATGTAAAATTACAGATTTAATAATAAATATGATTGTTTTCTTAGAAGTAAAATTTGAGTGAAAGTATTCATTTCTTCCTTTGTTCTATTATTTAGCTCATAAATATTTTCTTATTTTTAGGTACCGTAATTTTTTTTTCTGACCTGCTTTATTTTACAACAGTAGTTGTATGTAGAAGAACACAGAGCAATTTTGATGTCAATATTTAAATTTATATAGGATGCAAAGTTAAAAGAATAGATTAGATAAAATGTTTTACCCTTTTTCTTCAGATGATTGTTTTCTATTTTATGCACCAGAATTAATGGAAGATATTAAAAACCTGAATAAATATATTGTAAACCTAGTAGAATGCTGATACACCTGTAAACCATTTAATTCAACAGTATTTGAAAGAACTGGGGATATTGGATTTGTAGACAGAAAGATTAAGAAAAAAAGCAAAACATCTTACATATTAAAAAACATGTTCATCACAGTATGAGGGAGTTTTGCTTTATTAGCTTTTGGAAAATATTTGCCAAATATTTATTCACAGACTAAAAAACTGCCATTTGTTTCCCTTCAATTACATGAATATTTTGAAGCATATAGAACAGCAGTTCTCAACCTGTGGTTTGCGATCTTCACAGGGGTCACAAATCAGATATTTATATCACAGTTCATAACAGTAGCAAAATTACAGTTAAAAAGTATCAACAAAATAGTTTTATGGTTTGGAATCACCACAACATGAGGAGCTGTGTTAAAGGATCACAGCTTTAGAAAGATTGAGAACTATGCTCTAGAAGCTTTTATCTCTAATCTTTTGAAATTTTACTGTTAAGTACAAAATACATGTTGAGTTTTAAGGACTTGGATTAAAAAATATAAAATCACTTCAGAAAATTTTGAGTATATGCTGAAATAATGTAGTATTTTATAATGTTCTTTCCTAAAGACTTCCTGCCTTAAAGAATAAACCAGTATTATTTGTGATAATTTCTCTGCTACTCATTCTCCAAATGATCCCACACATTGTAACCTGTTACACTGTCCAATGTCTTTTTTTTGTTTCCATACTGGCTCACCTATTTGGCAAGGCCTACATCATCTAGTCTGAAATAGTTGATAGTTTTCCTCTTTCCTTGAACTTGATATAAATTCTTCTCACTTGTTATTCTTTGTTAAACCTTTAAATGCATTGTGTGATAGACGCTGGGGAAATTAAAGTCAAAAGAATGTTTTCCTTTTTTAATGCACTTATATTATAATTGAAAACAGGAGGGAGAAAAATAATAGCAATTGAGCTATTATGGATGTAATAAGTCTGAGTAGGTAATAGTGGAAATAGAAAGGATGGGTACTAGCTAGTTCTATTGTAGCCGGTTTGGGGGGCTGATAAAGGTTTTCAGATATGAGAAATGTTTGATCGATTTCTGTTTGGGAGGGGTGAATGACCTAGAACATTCTAGACTGAAAGAAAAGCAAATTATTTATTGCATTGTAATACTTGTGCATATGCTATATTGTTATTTAACTGATAAACATTTTTCCATAAATTTTTAGGGATATAATTACTGTATCATACCATTTTATATTTACATAGGATTCTTTTTTTAAAATATTTATTTATTTATTATGTATACAATATTCTGTTTGTGTGTCTGCCTGTAGGCCAGAAGAGGGCACCAGACCTCATTACAGATGGTTGTGAGCCACCATGTGGTTTTGGGAATTGAACTCAGGACCTTTGGAAGAGCAGGCAATGCTCTTAACCTCTGAGCCATCTCTCCAGCCCCCTACATAGGATTCTTTAGTTACTGCTAGTATTCATTAATTAAATAGAAGTGGGATTACTTGTAGGACCTGATATAAAATAGGAAGGAGAATGGGCAAGCTGTGCCTGCTGTATGAAAAATGCACATGTTCTGTATTAGAGTAACAAATTTATTAATTTATGAATAAATAATACATTTCTTAGGGTAGTAATGTTGGAAGAAAGGATTTTGTGTGTGTGTAAAAGTTTTTCTTTGGTAATTTTCTTTTTTTAATTCTGGAGAATTAAACCTAGGGTTCCAGGTCTCATGTATATTAAGCATTTACCATTGGACTAAATACCCTTAGATTGTGAACATTATATAGTCATTTTTCAGCTTTCTATGAATTTTTGTCCGTCAAAAAAATGATTAATCTTAACAGTTAATAAAACCTTTAATAAAACAGAACGTGGAAACAACAAAGTCAAGTCTACCTGTGGTTGACTCACTCCCTACGGTTGATTTACATGAAGATTCTTCCAGTGTAGTTGTGGGCAGTGAAGACATTGAAAATAGCTCCAGCTCATCTACCTCAGAAACGACTCCAGTCTCAAAGCTTGAGTAAGTCTTTATGAAGAGAAGGTTGGGTTGGGAGAGAAACCAAAACAACAAATTAGAAAGATTCCATAATAGGACATCTTAATATACTCAGGGTTGATATTTGTCCTAAATAACAGATAAGATTTTATAGTGTCTAATTCGTGTGTACTGAATGTAATCTTAATAGTGAGCTTATTTACTTAGCTGAGTAAATGAATAAAATCGATTATGGCCCGGCCATGAATCTCTACAAAGCACAAGTTCTACTCAGGAGAATGTATGTGTTTGTTTGTTTGTGTTTTTTTTGTAATCTGTTTAGTTATTCAAAAATTAAATGTCAGTTTATTTATTATTACTAGTTTTCAGTAATAGTTGTGACTAGTTATCTTTTTCTAACATAATAATATTTGGAATATTTAAGCTTAAAAGTTATCTTTAGTAAATCAATTTTGTGCTTTTGAGTTCCTTCAGCTGTAATGCAGAAAGCAAATCCAAACACCATCTCTTAATATTACGTTATGTATTTACTCTATCCTAAGATTGACAATAGTAGGTAAAAGAATACGTAAGAGCAAATGTTATTTATTGCCACTTTAAAAAATTTTATACTGCCGGGCAATGGTGGCGCACGCCTTTAATCCCAGCACTCGGGAGGCAGAGGCAGGCGGATCTCTGTGAGTTCGAGACCAGCCTGGTCTACAGAGCTAGTTCCAGGACAGGCTCCAAAGCCACAGAGAAACCCTGTCTCGAAAACCCTCTCCCCCCCAAAAAAAAATTTATACTGCTGCAAGTCGGTTGTTAGTGGGCTGGTGAAGTTGTACACAAAGATAGTGCCAGTTTGGAATAAATGTTGCTTAGTTAAGGAACAGAAAGCGTGTTGAAAAAAAAAAAACTAGATGCTATTTCAGAAACAATTTAAGACCAGGATACTGTTTATGTAAACAGTAGGTTCTTAATTCTCCCATATTGTTAAAAAGGATTGTGAATTACAAGTAAGGCAGGAGAAAATACTGAAATATTATCACAGTTCTTTCAAAAGTAAAATTTTAAAAGTGCAGTAAAACTTTAGCAGAATGGCCTGAGATAATTGGTAGTTTTGCTGTATGTAACACTATTAATAGATTCAGTATGAACAGAAATTGAATGTTAGAGAAGATACACTTAGAAAAATAACTTAAGGTCTTATTTTTTATTAGACCAAATACTAATTTAATGTGTTTTAAAATTCAGTAGTGTTTTAGAACTAGGTACACTCACAGATGGTTGGTTGTACATGATTTAAAATAATCAGCCTAGGCTGGCCTTGGCCTCTCAGTCCTGTTTTAGCCTCCTAGGTACTAGGATTAAAAGCATGTGCCATTGTGTCCAATTTAAAAATAATTTTTGAAAACATTCTATAGATCCACAAAAACATTCTTCTTTTGGAGGCTTAGGTTATGTTTCAGTGCCACTATTAGAATTTTAAACTTGCATTAAGTCAATTAAATTATTGGATTATCGTTTTTTCTTTCCTCTTTTAGTGAAATAGAAAAATCTGGTACTTTATCTCTAGCCAAGCCTAGTGAAACGGAGCAGACTGAAGTTGACTGTGATGCTGGTGAGGCTCCTGATGCAATTGCTCCAGTTGAACAGCCTGCTTTTGTCAGTCCTCCTGAAAGGTGAGTGTAGGCATTTTAGTACAGTTCTTTGTTGTTTTCATTTTGTGTTTTAGCATGACTGCATCTTGTTGTGTAGACCACTAGAACTTAATGTAACCCAGGTGGGCCTCACATACAGGATACTTCTGCCTGGCTCAGCCTTCCAAATGCTGGGACTCCAGACCTGCACCACCACATCTGATTGTGATAGGATTCTATAATAACTACTATTATAACTGGAATTTTGATAATCATAATTGTATAAAACTTTTTATCCAGCTAAAATGTGTTTAATATATCTTTTGCTTTTAAATAGCCTCGTTGGCCAGCATATAGAAAATGTGTCATCTTCACATGGCAAAGAAAAAATAACAAAATCAGAATTCGAATCAAAAGTTTCGGTGAGTGAACAAGATGGCAATGATCCAAAGTCTGTGTTGAATGCTTCAGTTACTGTAAAAAATGAGGTGAGTTATAACCTTGACAGTCTCCATCCATTATGTAATGTACTTTAGTGGAATCTTGAAAAAAATTGCTAACTATATTTGTTATAAGATTAGAGATATTATGCATAAAGCTGATATGAACTCTGCTTCTATATATAACATACAGTTTCTATATAATCTGACTAGTTTTTCCATATATAAGTGTTCTGGTATAGATTCTCTTTGGTTTTATATATAATTATACATCTTTCTGCCCACCATCTCAGCTATTTGGGGCCATATAGGTAAAGTCCTCACTTAAGCAATGTTTTAGAGCTATAATAGATGCCACGACCATTAAATTGAAAATATCATTTAATTCAATAAGGGCAAATACATGCTTCTCAGCTAGAATATTTTAAGGGCACATTTTTGTTACTTATGTGCAAGTTGCAGCTAGATTTTAAACTTCAGTCTTGAAACATTATTCTTACAGTAAGGAGGGACTTTATATAATGGTGAAGCAGAGATGAGAGCTTTTCCTCATCTTGAAAGCAAATTAAATTGAATGAAAGAGAAATTTAAAGTACCACCCACTCATTTTCATTTATTCCTTTTAGTTTGGGATGTTCTATTCATTTTAGTGAATTTTCATTTAAACTTCCTAACCTATATTTCAGAGCTTTATACTATTGATAGGACCAGATGTGTCTGTCTGTGGTGCTTCCTGGAAACACAAGAACTCAGTTTTCTGTAGTCCAGGTTCTTAAAAGAACTCACTTTAATTTTTTCAGTGGAACCAGATCATCTGTTAAGGTTCTTTTGTCAAATATCACACCCCTCAAATAGGCAAACATTAAAAATGTCTCCTTTGGAGCTCTTTCAGTATCAAATACGAATTGAAGCCTGGCAGCCAGCTCTGTCCTAAATTTACTTGTTTTCAACTAGTAGCCAACCCACAGAATCTAAGGCCTTAGACTGTGAACTTGTGCTAATAAGCAAAAGAATGAAATCTTAATTAAATGTATAATTACCTCCTGAACAAATTAGTATCCCAGAAAGACTGTTAGAAATAACACTAGTATTCAATTCAGAATAATTTTGCCCAGTTAAGTTCATGTGAGCCACTTGGGTTTCCAATAAAAGCAGCTCTTTGCAGCAGCTGTTATTTAAGATTTGCAGGATAGTGACACCATTAGACACATAGTGTTTTAGAAAGTGGTTCCATTTGTAGACAGTGCATTAGAAATTGATTTTATGGTTTTGTTAGATCTGTTATTTGGTGAGAGGAACTTTGTTACGTAGAACTCAAAGAATGTACATGCTTTTTTTGTTTTTGTTTTGGGGGCTTTACTATCTCAGCCAAGTGACTTTTTATAATTAATTATTTACCAGAGCTAGTTTTCTAAATAGACTTTGTTAATAGGCACATTAAGGTTTTTTTTTTGTTGTTGTTGTTGTTGTTGTTTCTGTAATACCCAAATGGATAAAACATGACATGACTAGGTAAGTAAATTACTCTGCTTTAGGAAAAGAAAAAAAAAAAAAAAGAAGATCGTGTGCCCTTTCCTGATTATAGCTCCTCTTCAGACCGTGCTATCATACATTTGGGGATTTTATAATTTTTTATTTGAGGACTTTGAAACAGAGTGTTTTGATGTTCTTGTCTTTATATGGACTTTTACTCAGTTTTGACATTGGGATTTGTCTCTTGTGCTTCTTGATTATTCTGTTACAATTATTCACTTGAGGAATATTTAAGTTTCTGTTTTCATTATATTAAAGTAGTGTTGCAGTGTGTAATTACACATGTTTAAAAAATAACATACGAGCATTTTTACTGACAGTGCACAGAAGTGTGAATTAGTGGGTATATATATTTTGCAAATACTGTTTTTAAGATTCCTTCAGCAATCTGATAGATTCCCCATGATGCATTAGATATGTCACACTTTGCCAAGACTGTCACACTGTAAACTGCCATCAGATTGGTAGGATTTGTGTATCTGATTTTATTAGCTTTTTGTGGTTATTTTTATGATTGTATTTTCCTTTTGCTGAATTTCTTGCTTCTATTTCTTCTGCTTATTTATTTTCATTCATTCTTGACATGCATTTATTTGTTGGTTGAAAATACTATAAATCACTCTTGAGGCTTGTTTCATGCAACTTATTGGCATAATTTTATTTTTAATTTTTATATAACCAGTGCATGGAGTTTTTAAAAGTGCATTTCATGCATCAATTTTTTTTTTGTTAAACCCCTTTACTAGCATGAGATATAATCTTTTTTTTGTGTGTGTTCTTTTAAAGTAAAATAATCTTGGGGCTTTTAAAATAACATTTTAAAATTACTTTAAAATTTTTGAGCCTATAATACTTGTTACTTCTTATAAAAACAATGTTACATCTAAAATTACTCCTTTAATAAGTAGGTGTGTACGTCTTAGATTTATTTGAAGGTGGTTGTATTGCAAGTAAATATATATATGTATATATTGAAAAAGAAATATTACTCATTCAAAATACATTTTTTCTTTTTGAATAGAAATATTTTTTGAAAATATATTTCTATTCCATTCAAAAGAAATATATATGTTTTTTGAATGAGTAATGAATTTGCTTAGGATATAGAATTCTGTTTATTTTTTAAGATAAATTATGTTTATGTCACTAACATGTAAAGGAATGTATTTTGTAATGCTTGAAGTTTCATTTCTTTTATATGAACTTGAATTTTTAAGTAAATTAATATTTCATGTTAAAATAGTTTTCATTACAAAAATTAAACTTTAATTTACTGTTGGAGAAACATTTGTGCTTACACTCATTATTTATTAATCTTTTTAAAAGATTAAAGTTTGTTGTTTTTGTTTTGGCGTTTTGGCATTTCTTTCAGAGCTCTGATTATACAAAGTTGGGAGAAACTGACCCTGCACCTGTCACAGGTCCCAAAGATCCAGAAGATATACCAACATTTGATGAGTGGAAGAAGAAAGTTATGGAAGTAGAAAAAGAAAAAAGTAAGGAAGCACTGGGATTTGATTAACTTTTTTCTAATTTTTTAATTATTTGAGGGAACTCTTTAAAAATGCTCTTTTCTAAAAACTTCATCAGAGAGATTCATCACATGGTAGATTACCTGCCATTTACTGGTAGTGTACAGTTTTAATCTTAATTAAATTCCATTCTTAGAGATTATCCACTGATAGTAAAATAAGAAGGAATAATGATATCACTTCCGATTTATGGGAAAATAGTTTGAATGAGGAGAGTTTGGTCAGAAAGCTTTAAACATTTTGTATAAAAATTCTGAGTTAAGAATTGTTGATGTTTGAGTTAGAAGTAGAAAAGGTAAAGCATAAAAAGTCAGGCTTTATTCTCATGGATGATCTTCATTTTATGCTCTCAGACATAGCTCAGGTAATGTGGATTTTTGTAGTTTATTACAAATATGTTAAAGCACTTTGAATTACTAGTTAGTTAGTTTTGAGATAGGCCCCTGTGTGACCTTGGTCAGCCTTGAGCTAACAGTGAAGTAAAGCTGGCTTCACACTCATGGCAATCCTCTTTGCATGGCATCCCAAATGCTGGGATTGCACACATATGCCACTATACCTGGCTTGAGTTTCCTCATTTATTTTAAAGCTGTATTTCTAAGAGTTAAAACCTGTTCATTTCTGGAAAGCAGCCTGTTTGCTACTTTTGAGATCATTGTGTTGCTTGGGGGATATTTTCATCATAATTGTTACATATATGTTTATAATGAGGTTTGTCTACAGGTCAGTCGTTGCATCCATCTTCTAATGGAGGTCCACATGCTACCAAAAAGGTCCAGAAAAATAGAAATAATTATGCCTCAGTAGAATGTGGCGCTAAAATTTTGGCAGCTAATCCGGAAGCCAAGGTATTTATAGTATATAAGCTTTTTAAAAAGAAAATACAAGAAACTAGCAACCTTTTAAAAACAGACATTTATGATAACTGTCTTTTAATGCGAGTTATTTTACAACTTTATTAATTAGTACATTATGCTTTTAAATACTTTGTAGTGTCGATTTTTGGTTATATTGGTTGATAACATTGCACCTTTAAAAGTATCATTTAATAACCTTATTTAACTTTTAAAATAGCTCATAAAAAGTTATTTTTCCTTTATAATAACAGACATTGTAAGTTTCAAAATGATAATTAATATAAGGCTAATTTAATGCTATAGCCTTAATGGAAAATTTTAACCATTTAATTTTTTTCTACTTAAGTATTCCATCATGTGCTTATTTTAAAAGCCTAAAATACAGGAATCTCGCAAAATTTTAGAATTAAAATATTTTAAACTTTTTCTTTAATATATATTCTTTGCCTTGAAACAGAGCACATCTGCTATTCTTATAGAAAATATGGACCTTTATATGTTGAATCCTTGCAGCACTAAAATTTGGTAAGTAATGTAAAATTTTACAAAGTGTATTTTATATGTGTGCATTTTTTATTGGGGTAAGATTGCTATATTTATTAATTTAATGAGCATTTATGATTTATTAGTATTGATATCACTTCCAAATTGAGAACAAACTGTTTTTCCTTTTAAGGAGATAACAGAAGTGCTAACACTGACAGGCCTGATCATAAGTACTGTTGGAGTTTTCTAGAAAAAGAAAACTGAAGGAGAAATTCTTAAAAGAGTGTAATTCCTTTGCTGAATCTTGAAGGACACATAGGCAATGGTAGATGACTGGATGACTATATAGAAGCAATTTAGTAGTGGCAAAAATAAGAGTGAAATTATGTATGACAAAAAATATAGGTATTATTATGATGAGGTCAGAGCATTAGTCTAGCTACAATCAGACCATTTGGTGCTTGTATGTACTCAGTTTGACAATGTGCATGCCTCCCCCACCCCACCCCCTATGTGTGTGTGTGTATGTGCTTTACTCAAAGTCTGTGTGGGCATACATGCTTGCTCTGGATGGAGGCCTGGTGTGTTTTCTTTATTCATTCTCTACTTTAGATATTGAGGCAGGGTCTCTCAGTTGAACCCAGAGTTTGCTGATTCCATTATCTAGATAGCTACCTTGCTCCTCGGATTTTCTGGGATTATTGGCAGTTCTCTATATACTCAACTTTTACCTGAGTGCTGGGGATCTAAACATTGGTCCTCAAACTTGCCTAATACTTCCCCATTAAGCATTCTCCTCCAGTTTAACAGTTTGTAAGACCTGTAGGCTAACATTTATTTTAAAGAAGTGACATTATCTCATTAGCATTTAAAAAAAGAATGGCCTACAGGAAAATGCAGTGGAAATAGAGAAATGAGATGGAAGGCTGTTCTCACAGCCTTGCTCTGAAATCACGACCTTGAGCTATATAATTGGCAATTTGAGTACAGAAGAGAGCACTCTTATCTGAAATACATTTGAGCAGGTAAAATTGACAGCTCTTAGTAATTTGGTATGTAGAAGAAAAAGCCATCTAAGAAATGCTCTATTATTTTGGCTTTACAGCTTTATAATTCTTTGATTAATGAATACTATAGACATGGGAACAGATTTATGGGGAAACAATGCACTTTTATTACAATTTTATTTATTACTTATTTATTTTTGGTTTCTTGATACAGGGTTTCACTGGCTAGCCCTAGCTATCCTGGAACTTGCTCTGTAGACCAAACTCACAGAGATCCACCTGCCTCTGCCTCCCTAGTGCTGGGATTAAAGGCGTGTGCCACCAGTACCTCGCATATTGCATTATTTTTTATTTCTAAAAGCCAATTGAAGGGACTGGAGATCTGACTCACAGCTTAAGAGTGCTTACTGTTTTTTTAGAAGACTCAGATTTGGTTTCCAGCACCTACATGACAGCTCACAATCATCTGTGACTCCATTCCCAATGTTTCCAACATCCCCTTCTGGCTTCTGGGTAGCAGGCAGTGTAGTGCACATAGACATACATATGTTACATATTGTTACAAACACTTTGCCAACTAAGCCATCTGCCCAGCCTCTCTATAGTATCTTTTGATGAAACTTTTCACTTGGTTTTGATCTCTCTGGAATTATTTCTTACATTGTGTTTAGAAAGAATTCTTTCCCAACTTCCTCATTTTCCTCTTGAGATAATTTTTTATTCAGTACTTTATTCTGTTTCTTAGCTTCAAAACCATTATCACAAAGTTTCCTTACATGCACTTTTGTTAAAATGCTTCTGTCCATTGGTCAGTTCATCATTATTTGCATCAATACCCTGTATAGCCTTACAGATCTTAATATCTAATAGGGTAAATTATTGTACATTAGGACTTTTTATTCTTTTGCCTCTTATTAATTACTGTTGTTTTTAACTTTTCTTGTTGAACTCCTGATTTCCATTTTATTTTATTTGAAATTTTATTGAAACTTTAAATGATGGCTACTGAGTTTTTCTACCAGTAAATAAGCATCCTTATTGTTTAACATATTTAACCCTTTTCCATAACTTTTCTGAATTTTGTACCTCAGCAGTTTTTTTGTTACTATTTTAAGAACCTCTGTTGATGGAAGTTTCTTTCCTTCCTGGTCCCACAGCCATTCAGTATCAACAAAATACACAGAGGCTTATATTAATTATAATCTGGTTAGCCTATTAACTCAGGCTTTTTATTAATTAGCTTTTATGACTTAAATTACCCATAATTCTTATCTGTGTTTAGTCACATGGCTTGGTACCTTACTCAGTGAGGAATTCCTATCTTGCTTCCTCTGTGTCTGACTGATGACAGCAGACTGAGCCTTCCCTCTTCCCAAAATTCTCCCAGTCTATATTTCCTGCCTGGCTACTGGTCAGTCAGCATTTATTAAAACAATACAAGTGACAATAAAGTACCTTCACAGGGTACAAGAACATTATCCCACAGCAAACCTCTAAAAACTGTTATATGTAGAGATACAATTAATCTATTATACATAATCTATTATGTATAGACTATATTATATACTATAATGCACAATATTATATATTATTAATATTATATATTATATTAATGCACTATACATAATCTTATGTATAGACTATATTATATGCTATGGTGTACAATATTATATACTATATACTACATATATGATATATGTTTGTATATGTATATATGTATATGGAGAAAGAGAGCTGCCTTTTTTTCTGTTGCTTACAGAAAGTAGTCAAGAAGCTTCTATGTAGGGAATTCTATATAGTGTTACTATACTGTAAAGTAATCTTTTAAAACTTTCCAGTTCTCCTTATCACGTTGACCTTTTCATCATCATGATGATTCCACCTTGAAAATTGTTGAATAGAAAGTGACAACACACATTCTCAACTCATTCTGTATTTTAAAGGCAGTGCTGCTAACTTTGCACCTCTGTTATTGTTTTTAAGATGTCTTAGGAGTGTTTTGCCTGCATGTATGTGTACCACATGTGGGCCAGGTATCCTCAGTAAGGCCAGGAGAGGGCATTAGAGCCCCTTGAAGTGAAGTTACAGATGTTTGTGGGTTACCCCACGCTAGCTCTGAATGTATATTGTAGCCCAGACTGATTTCATACTCAAAAATTTTGCCTTTTCTTTTTATGCACTGGGATCATAGAAATGTACTATTCTGTCTAGGTTATATTGTAAATATTTAATTTTTTCTGACTAGATTTTCTGTTCTTCTTGAGTCACCTTTTGTGGTAGTTTCTCTTCTGTAATATAAAATGCCTTAAAAAAAAAAAGCCAAAGGAGGAAGAATTTAATTTCACTTCATTGTCCAGGAAGACCATAAGTTTTTAACCTTTTCGGCTTAATATTTATTAGGACAGACATTTTTGCTTTTTTTCAATAACCTTTGCAAAATGTTAATATAAAGGTGACATTTGGGGCAGTGTTGCCTTCAGATAATTTTAAAGAGTATATTGCTGAATGAAAGACTTTCATACTCTGTATATATCAGATTATTCTTGCCAGTTTATAATGTCATAGAATTTTTTTGTAAAATCATTTCATTAAAAGAAAGGTAATTTTAAGATGCTTGTCCTGATCAAGACATTTTTACTATGTGTAAGTTAGGTTACTAATGCTACTCTTTTGTTACATTTTAGTAACTTGTAGATGTCTAGTTTATACAGATGTTTAATATGAACCAGTTTGATTGATTTATTTAAGTAACTGTCTTATTTTCTTTTAAAGGTTTGTTATTGAACTTTGTGAGCCAATTCAGGTCAAACAGTTTGATATTGCAAATTATGAATTATTTTCTTCTACTCCCAAAGACTTTCTGGTTTCTATCAGTGACAGGTAAATAAATTCTTAAACTATTTCTTAAAGAGTCCATGATAGAATTTCAGAATAAAAATTAAATGCACATGCCAGTCTGTTGTCTTATATCATCTTAGTTTTTATTTTAATATCAGTTTGTAGTAATATTTTATTGTGGGCTCGTGTTAATGATTTATCTTAGCTCTTGTAATATACAATCTGTTATGTTACTCCCTCATAAGCTGAAGACACAGATGGGGGTTAGTTTGCTTAAGTCACATGATTAGTTATTTGGGAGAAGCAAGATTCCAATCTAGAACTATGTAACTTTTAATCATTATGTTTATTGCTTTCAGACAGTTCTTTAAAACTTACTAAAAACATGCTTCATTTTATATCACAATGTTTATTTTTGGTGAAGGGTTTCAAAAACTTGTTTTACTTGCATGATTATGGAAGAAATGAAAATCTTAAAAAATTAGAGAACTATATTCTGTTCCTGGTAATGAAAATTTACTATTCTTAGGATTTTAATATATTCTTTCCAGCTTTTCATGTGTATATCTCATTCCACTAAAATGTGCATCTTCATATTTCTTACATCCTGAGACTTTTGTCTTTTACGCATAGCAGTTTTAATTAGAATTTAATTTTATCTGACAGTCAGGGTGTTTATCTGCTCTACAAGTACATTAGTGTGCTAGTGATTTGCTGTAAGCGTTGTTGTGACGTCACTATGTGCTGCCATTGATTATCGAAGAGTTGCAGTGGTCTTTCTTTTCTTCACAGTCGTTACTGTGTCTGTACAGCTTTTGAAAGCTTTCTCAAATTTCTTCAGAATTGCATTTACTGTTTTGTTATTAACCTTTTTTTCAGATGACTCCCCCAATACTGTATGTGTTAGATGATAATACCTAGCTCTGATTTTGAAGTATGCATATTTTTTAAAGATGAGAAGAGAGAACTCGGTATTTTGAGCTCTTTAAACATTACAAACAATAACAGGTGTAGAGTTTGAATGCTAGATTCCCTTTTAAAGAAATCAGCAATGGAGGATATCAGTTTTAATACAGTAAGATGATGTTGTCCCTTGTCTTTTGTTTGTTAATATGATTGTTCAAGTAGCCCTTTTTCAGTGAAGTGGAACTTGTCAGTTTAAAAAAAAAATAACTTAAAGGCCTGTTTTATTTAAATTCAGTGTGTTTAACATGAGAAGAAAAACTGTACATGATACATTTATTTTTGTTTTCTAGATATCCCACAAATAAATGGATCAAGCTGGGCACTTTCCATGGTAGAGATGAGAGGAATGTCCAGAGTTTCCCTTTGGATGAACAGATGTATGCAAAATATGTGAAGGTAATCTTTATGCATATAGAACTATGTCTTTCCTGTAATGAAAATCTTATAGTTGTTCCCCCTGGTCATTTAGAAATCAGAGAAACTAAGAGGAAATTTATAGCATAATACTATTTAATTAAATACATCTTACTAGTATGCATTTTTTATGAGACAGATGGTACTCTGACATTTTTATATTCTTGGTAACCTAGAACAAAAAAATTATTTCTGGCTCTAATAAAATGCCAAAATATAAGTTTTGTTTTGGAGTTTTGTTTTTGTTTTGAGGCTGAGTCTCTTGTAGCTCACTTGGCCTAACTGACCAGGAACTGTGAAGTACAGTAGTGCAGCACCATGCCACCATGCTTTAGCATCTGTAAGTTGTCATCAACCTGGAATTGTATTCTATTTTGAGACTTAAAACATTGCTGCTATTGGAATCTTTTAAGTAGGTCTGATCTGTTTTTAATTTTTAAAATCTGATTCAATTTTATTTTCAATTTATTTATGACTCCACTTTTTATATTCAGGTGAAGCATTTTATGCCCATTTAGCAGTTTCAGATAAAAATTTAGACACATAACTATTCCCATTGCTTCCTTCACCAACTGTCTTGAGTTGAATTTAAATAATATTTGGAAGTTTCTGTGCCTCTCTTTCCTGCCCCCCTTTTTCTGTAACAGAAAGTAAGAGAGGTTTCTTAAAGTACCATAATGTTAATAATAAGGCCTTTTAGAATTGCAGAACTTCTAACTTCTATTCATTCTTCTTTAAATTGTAAGAACTTATAGCTACTTGATTTTGTCTTCTGGGATTTTACTCTCTCTGTTGAAAGCATGACTCAAATTGATTTCTACAAATGGGTAAACTTGTAGTATTCCTAATTTCAGTATGAAAGTGCTAGATTCAATATTGAAAATGCAGTTGATAATCTCAGTATAAAAATTGCCATGTAAAACTCCCAATTTTATGGAGAGAAACTGTATAGAATGTTTTTTTTTTTAATATTTATTTATTATGTATACAATGTTCTGTCTGTGTGTATGCCTGCAGGCCAGAAGAGGGCACCAGACCTCATTACAGATGGTTGTGAGCCACCATGTGGTTGCTGGGAATTGAACTCAGGACCTTTGGAAGAGCAGGCAATGCTCTTAACCTCTGAGCCATCTCTCCAGCCCCCTGTATAGAATGTTTTTGAATTGTTTATGACAAGTCTTAAAAACCATTTGCTTGTGATCTGTACAGTGATCAGTGCTGTCTATGCACACAAATTCTGTGTTTCTGCTCCACTAAAGGAACTAAATACAAATACACAAATTACTTTTTAAAATTTGCATTTTATAAGTGAAGCATCTTTCACTTGTGTTAGTTATATATGAAAAACTTATGCTTTCCCTGAAACACATTGTATATAATATTTTAAAACCACCAGAAACACTTCATAGGAAACTAATTTGTTTAGTAATCTATACATTTATTCATAGATATATACATTTCAGATGGCAATTTAACATTGGTTTTAGAATCCTTTTTTAATTTAACAGAAAGCAATAGCAATGGCTATAGAAATAATTTCACTATTAACTTAAAGCTAATCTATTACATGTATTCAGATTATGCTTTTCAGTCATTATGGTATTAAATGGAAATTATGACTTTTGCTTCTGCAAAGAATTAAGAGTACTACAATGTTACCTGTCACAGTGCGTTGCCTTCTACACTTAATACCATATGGGTGCGGATACTTAGGTTACTTATGGCATGTTATCCAGACTTTGGAACTGATTCCTTTTTCTTTTCCTTTCTCTTGCTTCAGATGTTCATCAAGTACATAAAGGTTAGCAACCTTCTCTTTTGCAATATTGAATAACAGAGCATGGCATATTAATGCATTACAAAAGAAATTTTCCAAAGCTTTACAAGTATTGATTGGGGGAAATGACTTTACTTTTAGAAATGCTATAATGAGAAGACTGAGTATACTGCTCACCTCACAGAGGCACTGCTGGTTTCCAAGTTCATCAACTTCTATTTTTCAGGTGGAGTTAGTATCGCATTTTGGATCAGAGCACTTTTGTCCTTTAAGCCTAATAAGGTAATACAAAGCAAAATATTTCCTGTTTTTACAAGTGATATAAAAAAAGCTAATGTTTTTAAAGTGAAGAGATATTTTTTCTTATGTGAAGTTAATACTATAGAGATATAGGGTATTGAGCCTCCATTTAAATTTATTTTAGAAAAATACCAAGATAGTCTGAAAAAAATTATTTTTTGCTGTTTTTCTGTTAGTAAACTTTCTGTTTTATTGCGTTGATAATACATAGAAGCACAGATTGGTCCTTATATTTCTAAATGCTTTGTTACATTTATATTTTAATGAAGTAGTGGATGAATAGTTGTAAGAAATACATTATTTTGATTGCAAAAGCTAGTGTTTGTGACCTTTTTACTCATGAGTTGTGAAGTGTTGAGCCTTAGTAACTTCTGTTTTAATGCAAACCTTCAATGAAATTGTTACTAGGGTTTTCGGTACTAGCATGGTAGAAGAATATGAAGAAATTGCTGACTCCCAGTATCAGTCAGAACGTCAAGAACTATTTGATGAGGACTATGGTAAGTGATTTTAAGTAGGTGACTAGTGGGAATTTTCTTTCTTTTTCTTTTTTGTAATTCAATAGTAATGGATTACGTAAATCAACAATTGTGGTCACTTTAGTTTATTTTATTGTTTTTAGCCCTAGTAACCAAATCTGTCTTAAATGATGTTCTAGTGTGAATGCTTTGTGCCCTACATTCCACACTCATCAGTGAGTTCTTTGTACCTTACATTCCAAACTCACCATTGAGTTCTTTGCAATTGGGACTCTTTTGTAATACCAGCAATATAAATTTTGAGTATTCCCAATTCTGGGCCTAAGAATCTGTTAAACTTATATGATACTGAAACAGCAGAAGTCAGTATTGAGTTCTTTGCTATGCCCTGTGCCGTGGAGCAAGTACATTAAGACCACAGTCTTTTAGAAGCTCCTTTGAGTCTGGGTTTAATCCCCTGGCTACTTTGTTTACTGAAAATGGTATAAACTGTAATTTGAACAATTTAAAGTTTCTTTTGACATTTTCCTACAAAAAATACAAAGGCATTTGCTAAATGTTGGAAAATGTTAAAAATATGTTTAATACTTTTAGTCAGCATTACATGTATTTTCCTTGATTTACAGCAGCTAAAGGCTTCTGAACTTATTTATGTGGACATGTTTTAGATTTATAATTAATACTTACTATATAGTGTTTTATATTTCAGTTGACTGACAAAATATAGGTACTTTGAAATGCTTTTAGTAGAACTAGTTCTCATTAAAATTATTTTTGTCTTAACAGATTATCCACTGGATTATAATACTGTGGAGGATAAATCTTCAAAAAATCTTCTTGGTTCTGCTACAAGTGAGTATTTGGGGTTTTCTATTTATATTATTAAAGTCTGTTTCTCTTGCTCTTCTTCTGACAGGCTGTTTGTTGCAATGTAGTTTAGAATGCTTATACTCCCACTTTTGAATTATATTAGCTTTCGGATGGACTTTCCATGGAAATGAAATACAGTAGATGAAAAGGAGGAAAACGTAAGCATCAGATATCAAATTTGACGAGCTTACTGAAGAAAGGACTATAAATTTCTTGGGAGAAAATTAAGAAAGCAGCACGCTAGTAAATTTTTTGTGAGTGAAGGCTTAGTAATCTATACTTATGCCTACTTTTCTGTTTAATTTCAAAAATATAAAAGCTGTTTCCAGTGTTCACCAATAATAGTAATAATATGATATGGTGTTTTCAACTATAAAGAAATGACTACTTGGTGGTTTAGTTTGTTGGTCTTCCAAACTAGTGTGAACCTAGGGGTAGGCTCGCTAAAGATACTTTTAGATAAATCCTACCCACTGGAATATTATTTTTGTGGTTAATACAAAACTTAACTAAGAATTTTCTATTTATTTAGAGATTAATAACTGAATAACTAAAGGTCATACCAGTGTGTGTGCAAACTTTAATAAACAGCTTATATGCCATTTATATGGAGTTGAGTCACTAATTCTTTTCATCTCTCCTTTTCTCCTACTATCTCTTTTCTTCTCCATGGAGGATTAAAAAGTTTAGCAGTCTCCTAGGGATGAGAATAAAAATAATAAAAATACCTGGGAGAATAGAACCCATTTATGTAATGTTCATTACATATTAGTTCATTATACTTCATTTATATTTGTTTATTTTGTTTCCTTTCATGTGTGAGGGTAATCTCTATAGCACTGAGCTTAAACCCTAGCCTCTGTTGATAATTTTTGGCTTTTTAGGTTTGAGCAACTATTTTCACTTAGGATCCAATTTTATTTTATTGCTTGTATAAAAATAGTGCTGTGATACAACATTATTCTAGGGGTGAAAAAAGATGGTATGTTATATATGAATTTTACTATGATTTTAAGTATATATTTGTGTTACATAATAGTCATTCTTAAAGATGGTAAGCTAGTTTTGAGGAAGCATCTTTTTCTTTTCTTTTTATACATGGTTAGAACCAGTCTAAATGATCTTTAGCTTTTAATGGTTACCAGAAAGGAAAGGGTGCAAGGGAGGTAGTTTCTTACCATAGTTTGAGGTAAGAGAAGAAACCCTGTTAATATTCTGTGTTTTATTTTTTTTTTCTTCCTATGGTGTTTGTTCACAGCTACCATTAAAACAGGTAGTTATATGCCAGTGTAGGACATTTTCCTGCATGTAGTCTGTCATATACTGTTTTAATTAATTATATATAGACTATATTATTTTGGTCTAATTTTTTTTTGCCTTTATCTTTGATAAATGTGTTAGTTGTTAACACTTTATTTTCTTTTCCTTTATGGGTTTTGAAAGGCTGTCTATTTACCTTTGTGTGTTCTGAGTATTGAAAGAATTTACATACTGAAATGATAGAGACAGGGAGATATTACCTGATCTATAGTATGGAAATTAACTTTTTTTTTTTTTTGATTTTTCGAGACAGTTTCTCCGTAGCTTTTGGTTCCTGTCCTGGAACTAGCTCTTGTAGACCAGGCTGGCCTCAAACTCACAGAGATCTGCCTGCCTCTGCCTCCCGAGTGCTGGGATTAAAGGCGTGCGCCACCACCGCCCGGCAGAAATTAACTTTTTGAAATGACATATACCTCTTAAAGTTTCAAAACGAGTGGCCCTAAAAACAGTCTTACTTTGCTGTCATGAAGTTTACTGACCTGGTCTGTATAGTCTTCTCTAAATAAACAGGTTTGCCTTTGAACCTGACTAGTTACATCCTCTATGATAGGATAGCTAACAGTGTAAGAAGTGTACAGCGTGTAGAATTAGTCTAAAGAACCCGTGTTTAACAATAGAATATCCAAGTTTTGCAGTTCTAAATGAGCTTGAAATCGGGCTTATGTGGAGCCCAGTGTTTTGGTGCTGGAAAGTGGCCCTATGGCTTTGCACATATTAGGCCAGTACTCTATTACTGTATTAAGTTATCTTCCCACTCTTTAGATTTTTGAAACAAAATCAGTGTAGCCCAGGTTGCTTCAAACTTGCCATCCACCTGCCTCTACTTGTCAAATATTGAGATTAGAGATGTGGACCAACATACACAAACTTTTCCTTTTTAAAAATTGTACAGAATTTGTAACTTTGCTCTTAATAGAAAATCCTTTTTCCTTTATCTATTGGGTACATATTTAGTATCCTTTTGAGATACTTTGAACCAGAAGTATTTCACAGTTTAGATTTCATAATATTTGTGTTTGCATAATGAGATATCTTGAGGCTGGGATATAAACATGAATTTCTGTTGTAGCTTATGCACATAGCTTAAGGTAATTTTATACAGTATTTGTAGTGTGTCTGACTTTTGACTATGATCCATCATATGAGGTCATATTTCAAATTTCATGCTTTTGGATGTAAGAATTGTTAGTGCTCAAAAGTGTATTTTGGAGCATTTTGGCTTTCAGGCTTTAGAGTTTTGGAATAGGGATGATTACCCTATAGTTACTGTTCATAGAAAATATACATCAGTAGACATGCTTGATACTGTAGAATTTTACAAAGGGAGAAATGGCTGTCATAGAGGAGCATGTGTACATGCCTGTTTTGACAGCTCTTGCGACTTGCTTATCTTTTAGATCAGTAAGAATTCTCCCTAATGCTTCTGCTTCACTGGTTGGTGCTTTGTCTTGTAGATAAAGATGGCCATCTACTTTGATACTCTTATAAGCTTATCTTTTCGCTTAGATATATGTTTTACATTTTATTGAAATCTCTATATCTCCTAAACACATATGTACAGGTTAAGGACAAAATGCAGATTTTAAGTCAATATATTTTAATTTTGATGTGGTAAAATACAATAGTTTGAACAACTTGGTTACTGAGTAAGTGGATCTTGTGTTGCCATTTTTTTGTGTTCCTATAAAGAGGAAGTAAAGTAATTATTGGGAGGGAACAGTACACATAGAAGGGGGTTGTATTTTGGTTAGTTTATTTCGGAATATTGAAGCATAGACAAAAACTCCCCATTTCTGCATTGTAGACTAGAAAAGAGTTTGTATTCTGTAGCCAAAATGCCATCGAAGTATTGGAGACTCAGCAATAATGTAAAAAAAGGTGTTTGGTCATTAGGAATGTTTCATTCTTAAAGGAATAATGTGGGATGTGTAACTTGCCCAACGCAGAGAAATGAGGGAAATTAATCCAGTCTGGGATTGTGCTTGATGCTACTACTTTAGTAATTCTAAAGAGATTTTAGTGGCTTATGATGACAAAAGCTGCCCACATCTGGCTCTAAGTGGGAATGATCAGAATAGACTATTTACAAAGTTGTTTTGTTTCCAAAGACCGAAAGAGAGAGAGAGAGAAGAGTAATGTTCTATGAAAATAATGGAATTGTTTCTTTTAGTTAGATGAGCTGAGAAAATAGAAATCTCCCAGATTTTGCTTTTTTTTTTACTAACCAATCTCCTAAAATGATGACAGATAAGTCTTAAGATGGAAATACTGTGTGTCTTATTGTTAAGCTATTAATAAAATTAAGTTCAAAATAACAAAAAAAAATAAGTTCTTTGTACAGATTAATGTAGGTGTTTGTTTGTTGAATTTTTAATGACCTAAATTGGAAATCTGAAATACAAGTTTACTTTGAATACAAGAGAATATAAAATTGAAAAATTTGATTTTTGTAAATCAGACAGATGTGACTGAACTTTGGATGGCAGTGTAAAGCAGGGGATCATGTCCAAAGGGTGCTATTATTGGCATTCAGAGTGGGCTCATAAAGAAGCAGGAGTTTCCATTCCTGATGAGGTTTGTGAGGTGATGGGCATTCCTATCATACCTCAGCTTAAGTTTTGTCTTAACGTGAGTGACAAAACAGGGCTAGGTCTGTACTTCTCTGTTCTACTTCTCTGTTCACCAGCTTGTCACATCCAAGGGCAAGACATTTAAAAGTGACAGCCTTTGTGTTATTCTGATAAATATAAATAAGTACATTTTTTGTTTCATATGCAGATGTATAGCAAAATTACTCTGCTTGGGAATCCCCTTTAAAACAGTCAGAAGTCTTTTTCCCACCCTGCACACACATATATGAGTCTGTGACCACGCTGAGCTGGCTTGCAGGCTTCTTGATGTGCCTTCTCTTAGTACTTTTCACATCTTTGATTTTTGTTAAAAGTGTCCTGCAGACTCTATGGATCACTTTTATGATGAGTCTAAGATGGAATACCTTGGGAGGCTTAGTACAGCTTCTGCCTACTCAGTGCTTTAATAGAAATGCATGATAGTAAAGAATTGACTTCAAATGGCAGTTCTCGCTAGACTGGGGAAATTCCTCTGAAATATTGTTACATTATTAGAAGACTTCACACTCTGTCACCAGATTCCTGTGGAATTCTGCCATTTTTTGCTTCTCATGTATTATATATGTCTTAATATAGAAATTGAGGTTTATACTGTCTTTATTTGTTAGCTAAATATTCCCCACTGAGGGGAGGGGGGCAAAAAATCAGAAGGACCAATTTCACAAATTGTTCTACCTATTAACTTTAGTTTTGACTTTAAAAAATTTGAACTTTCCACAGAATCAAAGATATTGGGGGCTTTATACAACCCCCAAAACATTGTTTTGCCTAATTAGTTTTAAAAGTCATCAAAGGAATTTAATTGTGTATTACAGGTTTATGTAATTAATAGATTATATGATAATATAAAATTAATAATAGTAAATTTCTGCCTTTCTTTGGATAATAATCTTCCCATTTTATTTTTAACCTATGTAATCACTCTTTAGAAATTGCTTTGTTTATATAAGTTTTTTTTAACTATAGAACCTTTAAATAACTGAAATATGAATTTTGAGCATCTCATTTTTTTCATGTTCCAGTCCAGGTTATATGTTGAACTGTAATTGAATTTTATAATGTGCTAAACACAGTATTTCGTAAAAGATAGGAGGAAATTTTATTTTAAAAAACTGCATTCAAAATTCCTTCTGAACATTAAAATTTCAGCTTACTCTGGTTAAAAATCTGTGTCCTTTATTGGACTTTGATAGGAAATACAAAGGTAACTAACCCAAAGAAAAAGGCTTAAAGACCTTTATGGACTTTTAAAAAACTATATTAAGATTTTAATGAGACTGTTTAGGTATATTGGTATTGTTTTTCTGATTGAATTCTGTTTTAGATGCCATTCTAAATATGGTGAATATTGCTGCTAATATTCTGGGAGCAAAAACTGAAGACTTGACAGAAGGTACCTAATCATTTCATGCATCTTTAAAATAGCTGGTACTTCATGGATCCTTTAAGTTAGAAAAAGGAAGTAATAAACCAATAAAATAGAATTTTCATTTAGAAATGGAGAGACCATTGAAAAGAACTTAGCAGTCCTCTATTAATCATTATTAATTGAACTTCACAGATTCTTTTGTTAATGAAAGATCTACAGCTGCATAAAATTCATGAATTGATCCCTGCCCCCTCTACACTCCTCTCTCACCCTGGTAGAATTGATCAACCCAGTTCATCACATCTGCTATACAAGTACTCTTCTACTGAGCATTATACCTAGGCTTTAAATTTTTTTTAGTTTTGAGACAGGTCTTATTAAATTGCCAGACTGGCCTTGAACTTAACAATCCTCCTACCTCAGTCTCTCTAGTGTCTGGGTGGTGGCAGGTGCTACCACCCTGCCCAAATGAACTTGATTCTTCTTAGCTATGACAGTAATAATTCCATGCCCTCATCTCTTTCCTGAGAATTTGAAGTCCTAGTGATACTTCGTATTGGGCTTTCCTTTGTGTAGCAGAAATATTAATGTAGTAAGCCATTTTTTTTAGAGAATGGCAAATAATATAATTACCAAAGAATAACGGTGCCTTTTATTTAAAAAAAAAAAAAACCACTAAGCCAAGTGTAAGCTTAAAAATTACCCATTTTGCTTCCTCATTTTCTAATAACTTTCTGGTCTAGAAGCATATTAATAATGTAAGACTATGCAAAATTTATAATATCAAATAAGTTAAGGAATAACATTCTTTATAGTTGTAATCGTGTACAGTCATGTCTTTCTAAGGGAATTTAGATTTAAAAGAAAAAACTCCTTAGTAGCAAATGTGTTTGACCTTTTTCTTTCCCTTCCCCAAGAGGCTAAAGCTCTTTTTAATTTGTTACAATAAAATATTTTATGGTACAACTTTTAAACATTGAACTCAAATGTGGGCATCTTTCTTAAAATAGGAAATAAAAGTATATCTGAGAATGCCACTGCCACAACTGCACCTAAAATGCCTGAATCAACTCGTGTTTCAACTCCTGTTCCATCACCTGAGTAAGTTATATTGTGACATTAGTTCTATTAAAACAGAACTGAATGTATTAATACAGCAAAGAGCTTGTAATATATATGCAGTCATCTATGAAAGCCTGAATCATAAGACGATATCCCTACAGCTACTTAGAACTTCAGTTACTTCTTTTCATTCCTGTATTTGTGTATTAAAAAATAGCACTGCATTCCACACCACACATTGGTTGTTTTGGTATTGTGTATTATTTTCATACATTGAATCTTTTTTTAAGAAAAATATTTCTTTACTAAAGGTGATTGTTCTAGGCTTGAGGATAGATTTCAAAGACTTGTGTTTTTAATTAATTTTGAAAACATTGTATATATGATACCCCTAGGGTAGCCAAAATATCTAGAGCAGTAGTGGTTCTTGAATTACATTTGTCACCCAGCAAATTAAGTTGTTCCCTTTCTCAAACTGATTTGTATGTTTTTTTTTTTTTTTTCCCAGTGGAACACTTTGGGCAGTGTTGTGTATATAGGTAACATAAAGTATCTTCATTTGAGGGGCTTTCTTACCAAAGATAGTATAGGTACATATTATTTGTAGGTACATACTATCTATAGTAGACAATAAATTTAGTTATTTGGCTGTTGAGTTGTGGTTATTGTGTAAAATCTGAAAATCTTTTTTTCTCAAGAACTCTAGTAGAGGGGCGTATATAAATTTGAACTATTTCACAATAGTAGAAAATCAGAATTGCAATGTGTATGCTTTGAACTGTAATAACCAAACAGCATGATAATTAAAAAATGATTTTGTGGGGCTGACAAGATGGCTCAATGGTTAAAAGCACTGGCTGCTCTTCCAGATGACCTGGGTTCAAACATTCCCAGCACCTACATGGCAGTTCACAACTGTCTGTAACTCAGTTCCAGGTAATCTGACACCATTACACCAATGTGCACAAAATTAAATAAATTATTTAAAAAATGATTTTGTGCTTTGAAGAACAGAGTGAGATATTTATATTCTGAAAGTGGCTGAAAACATTTATTAGGTGATTGGAGTGAAAAATAAAGCCTATGTGTTACTTATTCTTAAAAAGTCCTAAAATATGTCTTAGTGATAGAGACATTCATAGTATTTCTTATTATCTGGGGGTATAATTGCAGCTTTTGATTTTATAACTAGGCTTCTTCAGTTAACTTTTTGGTTTTTCAGGACAGGGTTTCTCTGTTGCTTTGGAGCCTGTCCTGGAAACTAACTCTTATAGACCAGACTGGCATCGAACTCACAGAGATCTGCTTGCCTCTGTCTCCTGGGTACTGGGATTAAAGATGTGTGCCACCACCGCCCGAATTAGCTCACTGTTTTTAACAAATTAAACAAATTACTTATATACATATATATGTGCACACATGCAATCATGAATATTTGAAAGGGGATATTGTTGAGACAAACATCATCTCCCTATGTAGTTCAGCCTGGCCCCAAACTTGTGATCCTCTTTGTTCTTTCTCCCAAGTACTGGATTTATAGGTACAAGCTACCACATTGACTTTTATTATATATCATTGCATAGTAAAATTTCTTCATTTGTTTACTCTAATTTTCAAAAATGATTTTAGAGTAGTCACTTGGTGAGATAAAAAAGACAGTACTCCATACACAATATTACTAAAAGTTATGGAAAGCTATTATTTTCTTTTCCTATGCTTAAATTTTTTTTAACTGTAAGACTAGAGTATGTACAACAATATATAGCTAAACATTTTCTCCTCCGTCTCTCCAGACTGCTCCTTTTTACTGTCATAGTTTGTTCAGTAACTAATAGATGATGTGCCCTTGAATATGTAAGAAATACAATTTGGTACTAAATGGATCTATATGGCTGTAGATAGCTCTTTCTGTTTAGAGAAGCATAACCTAATTGTTTTATCTTAACTGGTTAGTACTTTGCTCTCAGCAAAAATGAAAGTCTCCTTAAATGCTCTTTGTCTTTGCTTTTGTAATTGTGGTGACAGAAGTCTGTACTTGGAAACATTAACTGGTAGTAATTTTTTAAGTAGGAGATTTTTCATGTAAAGATAATTTAATTTTGGTATTGATATTACCTGAGTTCTTCAGGTTTTTCATTTGTTCTTTAAGATTGTACTCAGAAATCATCTTTGTCTCAGACAGAACCATGGGCACTGTAACTTTCTACTATTACTCCACCCTGCTAGGCCCAACCACACAGGCCTACTCTAGAGACAATGGTGAGGCAGGCTTAATGACATTGTTGGTTTTTTATGAGCCAAGACTTTTTATTAAAGTGGTCATATATTTGTCTTTTAGTAAGAAAACTAGCTCAGATGGTAAGATTGTATTTCCTTAAAAGCAGACAGTCTTCTGTATGTGTGTGTGGGGGGATCCTCAAAGCCTACAGAAACGTCATTGAGAATTTGAGCTACCTTCTACAGATGATATTAAAATCCTGGATTCTAGTTCTAGATCTTGGGCATCTTAATTTCTAGTCTATAAAGAGTGGTGGTAAGGCATGTAAAGAGTAAGTCTGTTATGGAAAGGCACACTGTATATTCAGGCAAGAGAAGTATTCACTTATTTAGAGTCAAACATTAAAAGGAAGCAAATTTGATGTGGTAAAATACAGTGGTTTGAGCTACCTGGTTACATGGTAAGTGGATTTTGTGTTGCCATTTCTGACTTACATACATTTTTTTAAATATAATGAAAAAAATATTTTATAGGAAAAGCTCAGTACAACTTTGTACTCACCATTACTTCTGTAATCCCAGTCTTTATGTTGTGCTAAGACATTTTCCTTAAGCTTACTTTAACATTAGATTTCTAAGTGATATGTAATTATATCTATGTGTTTCTAGATATGTAACCAATGAAGTCCATACACAGGACACAGAACCATCAACCTCAGATACTCCAAAAGAAAGTCCTATTGTCCAGCTGGTTCAGGAGGAAGAAGAGGAAGCAAGTCCATCCACGGTGACCCTTTTGGGCAGCGGTGAACAAGAGGATGAGTCATCATCCTGGTTTGAATCTGAGACACAAATACTTTGTAGTGAACTGACGTCAATTTGTTGCATTTCTAGTTTTTCGGAGTACATTTATAAATGGTGCTCATTTAGAATTGCTTTTTATCGACAACGCAGCAGAACTGTTATGAGTAAAGGAAAAGATTTTGTGCCAGTTCAGCCATCGTTACTACTTCCAGTCGAATCAGTAGAGGTTTCAGTATTGCAGCCTGCCAGTGGAGATGTGGACAATGAGAACATGGAAAGAGAAGCTGAAACTGTTGTTCTTGATGACTTAAGTAGTGTGCACCAAAGTGATTTGATAAATCACACAGTGGATGCAATTGAAATTGAACCAAGCCATCCTCAAACTCTTTCTCAGTCTCCTCTCTTAGATATTACTCCAGAAATCAATTCACTGTCTAAAGTAGAAGGATCTGAGTCTGTTAAATATGAGGGAGGACATACACCATTACAAGTAATGCCCCAAGAGAGTTCTGTTGAGTCTGATGATGAAACGGAAAAAAAGCCTGAGAGCTTTAGTTCTGTAGAGAAGCCTTCTGTTATTTATGAAACAAGTAAAGTTAATGAGTTAGTGGACAGTACTGTGAAAGAAGACATATCCTCCACAGAAGTTGTCATCAGGGTCTCTGAAACAATACCACTACCTATAAGCACAGCCACTGTGCCAGACACTGAAGACGGGGAAGCCAAAATGAGTATAGCTGATACACCAAAGCAAATAGTGACTCCGGTTATGGACCCTTCATTGCCTGAAGGAAAAGAGGACGATCAATCTCCAGAAGATGCCCTTTTAAGAGGGTTACAAAGGACAGCTACAGATTTCTATGCTGAATTACAAAATTCTACAGATCTGGGATATGGTAATGGGAATCTCGTACATGGATCAAATCAGAAGGAGTCAGTATTTATGAGACTTAATAATCGTATTAAAGCCTTAGAAGTTAACATGTCTCTCAGTGGTCGCTATCTGGAGGAACTTAGTCAAAGGTAAGCTTTCTTATACATGAGCACAACCCATTTCACATGGTAAGTTTGGTAGCTGAATAAGATCTACAAAGACATTTTTATGGTAATGTAATAAGGATGATTTTAACTGGAAAAAGAGGACAAGCCACTTGGATGGTGTTCAAAACTTTTCCAGAATTGTTATCTGTTTTGTTTTTATAAGTTCTTAGTGACATGCTGCTATTATTATTAGGCTAAAGCATTTTCTGTATCACACTTTCTCCTTTATAATTTTTGTGTTCTTACTGTGTCGCTGAGATTAGTCTTGAGCTCTTAGACTTATGTGATCTTATCAACCTCTTGATTAACTGCGACTGTAGGTGTGTGCTAGCGTATTCAGCATCACTTTCTCCTTCTGTTGCTTGACTTTAGCAGTTTTTACCGATTGCCAGAGAGAACATGGGAAAAGTACCTTAAAGGGCTTGTAGTACGTCTGGGTCAGGTATTTAAGAGTTTAGATGTATAAAGATAAGGAAAAATCAAACAAGATTTCATCATTCATATATGCAGACAAAATATGCAGCATTTACAATCAATACATCTTTTATGCAGATCACAAAATCAGTTCCTTTGTCATAATTTATATCCTTTATTCCTTAGTGTCAGTGCACTTAAACGGTGATTAAGACTCCAGGCACAATCTTCTTGTCTTTATACCTGTATTCTGTTTCATATTCCGTAAATGTCCAATATCTGTCCTAGAATTTCTTTCCCTTACATTTGCCATCACTTGGGCACCAAATATCTAGAGTTCTCGACATACCACTTTTTCTTATCCCTCTTAATTTGAAGTGCTACTAATGAGATGTCAGTAAAATATGAGAAAAGATATTTGCTCCTGGTCTTTCCTCACTCTACTTCATCCCAAAGGAATCATACTAATTTTTTATAGCAATGAGAATAAACTTGATGTTCAGGATCTATTGGTTAATACCTTTTGTATGTGTTACTGTGTTTCACAGTCCTGAATAAGTCATTTTAAGATAAGTGAATTGTTGAATCTTAAAATCAGAATTATTTTTCCAGTACTTAATGATAAGTGAATTTAAAGGAATTTTTACTCTGTAGGTACCGAAAACAAATGGAAGAAATGCAGAAAGCTTTCAATAAAACAATAGTAAAGCTTCAGAATACTTCAAGAATAGCAGAAGAACAGGTTGGTTTCTTCGTTATTGTATATTTATTTTTTAGAATGTAATATGATATGCATACATCTTTGTGGAGTGTATCGTAATTATTTTGCATGTACAATGTGTAATAGAAAATCAGGGTAATCGGTCAGTATTCTCTAGTTTCAAATGTATCATAAATTATTTTAACCAGTAGTTTTCCACTGTGCTATAGAAGAAATTCTCCTACTCTATTGTGCCCTTTATTGAACATTTTTTCATCTTTTCACCTTTCTGCCTATGTAGATTTACTTAATAGTTTGCACAGATGAACATGTCTTTCTGTGTGTGGTTCATTTCACTTGAAGTAATAGCCTCCATATTGATCCACATTTCTACAAGAAATGATATTTTATAGCAGAATAGTATTCCATTGTGTAAATATACCAGTGTTTTTTGTTTTTTGTCTTTTTATTCACAGAAAGTCAACTTGAGTTAATGACATATTTTATCTGTTATAAATAATTCTGCCATAAATGCTGGCAATTGTTTTATCTCCTTTGGCTGCATACCCAGCAGTGCATTACTAGGTGATATGGAAAGTCTGCTTTAACATTTCGAGTAATTTCATACTATTCTCTATAATGGTTCTTCTGATTTACATGTTGCTTTTGAAGTAGATACTCACTGACTTTGGTAGGATGTAAGTAGCAAAAGTAACTTATTCACATTTTCCTCCTAGCTGTATATGATGTTGTGCTTTGGAAGGTATCTAGCTATTCACCTAGGAAAACATTTTTTTGAAAATTGAATTCATTTTGTCTATACAACCTTTCTGCAACTTTCTAAAAACTGCAGAAATGTTTTTGTGGTTGTTCTCTGTAGTACTCTGGTTCATTATAGAAAAGAACAGCTTTATTTCTTTTTTTGATTCTTCCATCTTTTTTATGTATTTATCTCTTGGCCCAATGTAGATAGTGATAACAGTATGACTGGTGATAACTTTGCACCTCTGTCTTAGGGAGAAAAATTTCAGTATTATGTGTATATCACAACCAACAAATATTATATTGAGTTTTAATCTGATAACGCCTTTATTTTCTCTTACTTTATAAATAGTAGCTGTATCATATGTCTCAAAGACCTGTATAAATACTTTTAATCTTAGCAAGACGTGTTAACCAGTTTAGACTTGTCTTTAGGCATTTGTAACTATCTCAGGCTGATCTGTGTATGTTGAGTTTTCAAAAGAAGTGGTTTAATAAATCACTAATACTATTTTAAGAAGGTAAACTATACTGGAAAGAGTCAAAGGTTTGCAGAAACGAACCCTTTTGATAGTTTTATATACCCCTCTTTCCTCACACACAGTTAACACTTAAAAACTTTTTTAATCAAATTGAAATTCATAGGTCTAGATTAAAAAATGGTTATGTAGTTTCTATGAGGTCTTATGTTTGAGTTTTCAATTTCCTGGACTTACTTCCTCCCCTCTCCTCCCATCCCTCCCTCCCTTCCTCCCTCCCTCTCTCCCTCCCCCCTTCCTTCCTTCCTAGATTCATTAATAGGTTTGAAATTCTAGTACCATTTGTCTAGTATACAGTATGCATGAGAGTGATAATTTAAATAAAGACATACTGATTGTAAAAGCTTCTGAAATGAATACAGAGAGGTGGCTTTGAGCTTATTTTCATCTGTAGGAGTATAGCATCAATTAGATGACCACTCATAGGTATGACATCCTTGGTTGATTGTATTTTGCTACGAAAGGAACATTTTTTTTTTTTTAAAGTTAGTTTGAGCATTTTTTTTTTAACTGACTGTTTTACCTTTAAAAACACTTAGTGAGAGTAGCGGGTATGAGACTGGTGATCCACTAGTTTATACCTATGGAAACACCATTAATTTGGACAGTAGTTCATTAGCTTCTGTTAGATGGTATTTTACATCCTGAGAGCGACAAAATAATTCTTTTTGAAGGGAAGCTAGACCACAACCTAAGATTCTTTTTTTGTTTTGGTTTTTTTTAATTGATTTTTATTGAGCTCTATATTTTTCTTTGCTCCCCTTCTTGCCTCTGCCCTCCCCTCTTCAATCCTCCCCCAAAGGTCCCCATGTTCCCTATTTACTCAGGAGATCTTGTCTTTTCCTACTTCCCATGTAGATTAGATCTATGTAAGTCTCTTAGTGTCCTCATTGTTGTCTAAGTTCTCTGGGATTGTGATTTGTAGGCTGATTTTCTTTGCTTTATGTTTAAAAACCACCTATAAGTGAGTACATATGATAATTGTCTTTCTGGGTCTGGGTTACCTAAGATTCTTAAGGGTTTTATATTTTTTTAAAACTTTTCATCAAAGTTTGTGTTTACCCATTAAGATTTTTGTAAAACTACATTTTAAAAGAACTTAGTGGTTTTTCCAAATTATACATTTTACTGTAATGTGGTTAATGTACAGATGAAATATAAAGAAAAATGATAATCTTCTGTTACAGGATCAGCGACAAACTGAAGCCATCCATTTGCTACAGGCACAACTGACCAACATGACACAGCTTGTTTCAAACTTATCAGCAACTGTAGCAGAATTAAAACGGGAGGTAATTGTTCAGCTGCCTCTCTTGTAAGACACTGTGCTCCTAAGAAGGTTGTCAGAGGGGCAAGCTTATAAACATGAACATGATAGTTCAAAGCTTGAACCAAACAAAACTGTCACTTACATAGAACTTTTTCAAAACACCAAAATGCATTACTTTACTGTCTGGGAGCTATACTATGATAGTCTTTTGTAAAACATGACTTTCATTATTTGGTTTTACTTATAAGGCAGGTATGTTAATTCTGTTAGGTCTATTAAAAAAATTCAGTTAATTTTTATTCTGGGCATTGGAAATCATTGCAAATCAATTATTAAGTAAAGAAATTGTCTATGTCTTCTCAGTAATGCTTAACGTGTTGAAAAATTCTCATTTGGTGCCCTGTTGGAAATGGTCTGTTTACAGACAAGAACAGAAACAGGAAAGGAGCTTATTAGAAGGCAATTGCAGTAACTTAGGTGAAGTTAACTTGGACCAGGATTTTAGAAGTACAAAATAGTATAAGGTTAGTTGACTTAAGTATATATTTAAAAGATAGAAAAGTGAGCCTTAATGAAGTATTAAGTATGTAAAGTTAAGGAATTGAGGTTGAGTCTGAGGGGTTTAATAACTGAGTTATATATATTGGGAAAGGCTACATGTTAGCATGCTTATCCCTGACGAAGGGAATACAAATGGAAAGACAAGCTACATGTTAGCAAAGCATTGTTGTGTTCATTAGATGGGAAGAAACAGCAAGAACAAACTTCCAATGGTTTGTTCTTAGGCAGCATGCTCTGTATTATGGCTTAGGAGCAAATTGACTGTTTAAAATTACTCATTCTCTGAATTTTAGATTCCATTGTATATCCTTTAAAGTACTTTATTATAATTGTTGTTTATCTTTTTAGGTTTCAGATCGACAGAGTTACCTTGTTATGTCTTTGATTTTATGTGTTGTCTTGGGACTGATGCTCTGTATGCAACGTTGTCGAAACACTTCTCATTTTGATGGGGATTACATTTCAAAACTCCCAAAAAGTAATCAGTATCCAAGCCCTAAAAGGTAAGGTTAGCATCATAGATCACAGTTTTCTTCTTTCATCCCTTTTTCTTTTCCCCAAAGAAATGCTGAGAAGATAAAAGGACATGAAGTAAATCCTTCTTGAAATCAGAATATTAAAAACATCCTGGTAGCAAGAGGGTCACTATAATTATATTTGGAGATAACTTCATCGAATAATCGAGAGAAACTAATAATAAATGCATGAAACCTTTGAGTCATTTTGGTTGAGAAGGGTATTCGGATGTGGGCTTCAGAGATGGAAGAGAATCCACATTGTAAGATACGACCTTACAGATATGTTCTACTCACATTAGCAGTGTCTGGTGTGTTAATTTAGGCTTGTTCCATGTGTTATGCAGTTCTCAGAATCCTCCATTTAAATGGGCTATACAGTAAGTTAGAGATCATATACTCATTGTATGCAATGTTTTCTTAATGTATTAGGTGTTTCTCTTCCTATGATGACATGAATTTGAAAAGAAGAACATCGTTTCCCCTCATCAGATCGAAGTCTCTGCAGTTTACTAGCAAAGAAGGTAGATTTCTGTGACTATGATATATGTGTTTATTATGTGTATATCTATGTAGTATGAAACTGGCTTCTGGCATGTATATAATGTACCTGCTGTGTTTGTGACCATCTGCAATCAAAAACTGAATCAGAGTTATCTTTGTGTTTGTGCTAGTCAAAGCCACTCTATCATTTTCATACTTTAAACCTCTTTGTTTCTTTGCAAGCCCAAAAGGTGGGAGGGGGACTTAGTTTTAAGTAGCAATGAGTAGTTTTATTTGCACATGCTCCTGTTTAGAAGTATTTCTTTTTAGAAAGGGATGTTTGAGAAAGTTCAGCAGCTATGGAAAACCTGAATGCTCAATGTGCTCCCATAGCATCCTGTGCTTTTCTGCCTCCTCTTCTTGTGCAGGTAGGACCCTTTTTGTCTCTAGTTTAGGACTTTTGAGGCACTTTCATTGTCCCAGAGTTTATAATTGGGTTTCATTCAAGACATGCTAACATTTGGGTGAACAGATGAATACTGAATATTTATTTTCCTGTTTTATTTTCTTTGTAACTAGTACTTAAGAAACTTAACAATTTATCCATATAGAAAAGGTAAAATAACCAGTTGTTTATATATTTCATTTAGGGGTGCTTTCTGTATAACAGCTGTTCTCCCTTTCCTTAGGATTTTAGTTATTGATCAGAATGTTAACATTCTTATGTCTTGCAAATAATCACTCCTGAGCCTGACTAGTGTAAGCTTTCTGTACTTAATCCACTCCATGTGCAAGCTTAGATAATTTTTACAAACTCAGTATGCCTGTGTAATCCATATCCTAATTAAAAAATGGAGTGTATTCTTAACACCTCTAAAATACTTTGTGCATTTTCCCCTCCCAGTATAGCCAGTATTTTAACACCTAATTGTTGTGAGTCACCATACTGTCTAATATAGTTTATTCATTCTAATTCTAGTACAGCATTCCACTGTACAGATGCTGCCCATTAACACATTTACCTTTGGACTGTTTTCATTTCGAGATTATTACATGTCTTTAAGTCAACACATACATGCATCTGCCAACAGAAATGGAAGTAGGAGGGCTGGATCATAGCATACGTGTCAGCTTTAGTAAATATCAACACATGGGTTTCTGAATGTTCTATGGATGATGTCCCATCAGCTTTGAATGACTTCTTCCCAGCTTTTTCAGTTGTTCCACATTCTAGTAATCACTTAATAATTTGGGTCTTGTAGTCATTCTGATTGGTGTGCATGCATTTTGTAATTGAGCTAGATTCATGCATTTGGAAGATAAATTTGTTTTCATCAGTTCTAGTCCTATTTCAGATTAAGTGAACTAATATATTTTATTATTTAAAGACAAATAGAATATGCTTTGTTCCTGATAACAGAATTGCTTCTGTTTTAAACAGTGATGTAATCTTGACGTATCCTTGCTTCTAAAGAAAGTTGAGGACAATAGGCAGGAAGGAACTGACTTTAGTCCTGATTCTGTTATTCATTTCTTTATTTTTCTTCAGTTAAAACTCTTGGGGCATTTATTTAGTCTGCCTTGAATTTTTCCATTTTGTACGTATTTTCACTTCTTAGCTTAGAAGGAAGGAACCATGTCAAATTGTGTGTTTTTTTTTTAAGCAACAACATAAAATGTATCATTTTAACCATGTTTTAAGTATGAAATCCAGTAATAAGTTCACATTTTTGTCAAACTGATCTTCAGAATATTTTTATCTTAGAAATCAGAAAATTGTGTCTGTTGTCTATAAATAACTCAGTGTCCCCTCTACCTGACCTAAATACTGTTGTAGTTTATGTTCCTTTTCATTTAAATACTTAAATACTCCATATTCATGGTGCTGTCTTGGTTTTTCTGCACATAGTTTATTTTATATAGCATACCTTCAGGGTACATCCATGTTGTAGTATGTAATAAGATCTTTTTAAAGCTGAATAATTGTCTACTTTGTGTATATACCACGTTTTCTTTCCATTTTTTTTCCCGTTTCATTAGTGTATGCACTCATGAATGCATACATGTGAAGGGCAGAGGACAACTTTGAGAGTCAGTTCTCTCCTCTGCCATGGACTTGTGGATCCTAGAAATCAAGCTCAGGTTGTCAGCCTTGGTTCGGGTGCCTTTCTTTACCCAGTAAGCCATCTCATCAGCCTCTTGTCTTCTGATGAAGATAACTGTAGCTTTCTGTTTTTGTTGTTTTAAGTAATGCTCCTTGCTATGAGCATGCCTGTACAAATGTTCTTTGATTAGCTTTGACAATTCTACAGTCAGTTTGTCTGGATATATAACTGCAATGGGATAGCTAGATCATGTGACAGTATTTTTCATTTCTTTTTGGGTAATCTCCATACTTTCCATAGTTACTGTACTCTACCCAAGCAATACTGTTCCATTGTTTCCATATTCTCATACATGTTATTTTTTTTGTTTTTTTTTCTAATAATAGCTTTCTAATATATGTGGGATATATTACTGTTCTTTGATTAGCATTTCTCTAATTCATTATATGTGCTTGTATATATATATAAACACAAACATAAACATAAACACAAACACTTGCATATAAATGTAAGTGTCATATATTATTTAAAAATATTTTCTCCCTTTCTGCACATAGCTTTTATCCTATCCATTTTGTTTTTATTGTCAGTGTCCTAACTAGGAAATCTTTATGAAGACCTGAATCCTAAAACTTTTATGTTTTTTTTCCCCTTAGGTTTATAGGCTTAGGTCTTTATTCTACTTGGTGTTGATTTTTGTGTATGACATAAGGGTCCTTTTCCCTCTGCTCAATTTGCTGACTAAATTACCCATTTCTCACTGATAGTAGTCTAAGAACCTTCTCAAAAATCACTAGACTATATGCCTCCATACTGTGATGCCCTGTTGTTAAATGTGTATGCACTTATGACCAGTATGTCTTCTTGGAATCATTATGTAATTTTTATTTCAAGGTCAAAAGTCTGCTTTGTCTCAAATGAATGTAGCTGCTCTTTATTTTGTATTTAAATTGTATTTTTTAGTGGTAATAGTTGGATCTCATTACCTGATTGACTGGCAGTCTCCGTTGATCAGTTTCTTTAGACCATTGATTTTAAAGATGGTTTTGACTTAGTTAGAACATTACCATATTATTGTTTTCCGTTTAAGTTTGTTTGTATTTTTGTCCTCTATATTATTTCTACTGTTTTTGGTTATAATTGAGCATTGTGCCTGATTCTTTTTGTTAGCAGATCCAGCATAATTCTTCATAGAGTTACTTTAATGATTGCTTGTTTACAGTATACATTTACAACTAACCCACCTCCACTTTTCAAATAAAGCCATACCCTTCCACAGGTATGGTGATAGCACCAAAGTAATACTAAATCCTGCCTCCTATCACTTGCATTATTATCATTCATTCCATTTATACATATACATACTTACACACACACACAAAATCATATTGGTATTAATTTTAACATAATTATCTGTTAACCAGGTAAAGATGAGAAAAAATGAGTTTTTCTTATTATTTCATTCTAAACTATTACTATTTCTTGCAAAGCAGGTCTGTGGGTTCCTTCAGTTTTGCTTATGAAGGTCTGTTTTTTCTCTTTTGAAGAATGCATAAGCAAGATAAGAACTACATCTGATATTTTTCCTCAAAAAACAGAATTTCATTATTTCACATCTTACTGATTCAGGTGTTGCTTCTCTCTCTTTCTTTCTTTCTTTCTTTCTTTCTTTCTTTCTTTCTTTCTTTCTTTTTTTCTTTCTTTCTTTCTTTCCAATAAGCTTCTCTTTCATCCTGTTGAGATATGCCATAGTTAGAGACCATAGGCTTCCTTTTTAGTTAGTAGAGTTACATGGGTATGCAATTTTCTTTGTAAGAGTAGTTTAGGGTGTTTAGCTTAAGTTGTGGTGATGAATTTTTCTGGTACTGTTAAATCACAATTCCAAGAATGTGACCATTTTCTAAGTATGCATTAGCACACATTTAGAACATTAGGTGTTGTGGTGGCTTAGTGTACTCTCCATCATCATCACTGTGAGGAGGCTTTTTCTTAGGATGCAGTGGATATTCAGTTCCCTATTATAACACTTAGGTTGAAAATTGTTTACAGTCATTGTTCTTTATAGGTCATTTCAGAAAGGTACAAGTATTTCCTGTCGAAAGGAACATTTCTATCTCTTTCTGAACCAATATAATGATCTTGTTTATTAACAAGCAAGTCCCTGTTTATTATGCTCAGTTTTGTTTTACATTAGTTCTAGTTTTTCTGCTTAATTCTAACTCATGACATTAAATTTCGTATTGTTTATTGAAATTTGCCTGCATATTTCATTTCATTTGTCATTAGATCTCTAACCCTCTAAAATACCTTTTCCTTTTTTTTTTTTTTTTTTTTTTAAAGACTGGATGTCTCTATGTAGTTCTGGCTATAAGGTCTGCCTGCTACCATACCCCTTAAACTACTATTTTAATTTTTCTTTAATCCTATGTTAGATTTGTTGAGTTCTTTAGATCTCTACATAGATATTTTTTGAGTAATGGACAATTATCAGCTATGGTTTTTCCCCCTACGTAATTACTTATTCCTCAGTGTCTTAAGTCTCCAATTTCATTAATGTATTAATCCATCCCTCTGTATTCTTTTTATTTTGTAAATTTTGTCATTTTTATTTTTAAGATTTATTTTACAATGAAGTATGTGTGGCTGTATGACTGCAAATGCAGTTCCCTTGGAGGCCAGTGATCCCCAGAGCTGTGAGCTTCTGACATGGGCGCTTAACCAAACTCAGGTCCTCTACAAGAGTAGTACATGCTCATAATCCAGCCCCTTTTTGCTTCCTTATGATACATTTTTCATGATTATTTCTTTTCCTAATCCATTTTCTAAGTTACAGTCTACAGCTATATCTAATCTGTTACTAAATTCATCCATTGAGTTTTAAATTTTATTTACCACATTGTCTATTCCAAGAAATCTTTGTGTTTTGTTAAAAAGCCTTGTTTGAGTTTCTTGGTGTGTGTGTATGTGTTTCTTGAGATACTTTCCAGCTTTTTAATATTTAGATACATTTAAGTACAATGTCTTTATAGCCCACATTGGAAATCAGGCACATTTAGGGTGGTATGGGCTTTAGATGATACTAGTCTGTGGTCATCCTGGTATCCTAAATATTTACAAATCTTCATTTATTTGTGTTTATAGGCCCTTGCTTACAGTGTACTATGTCTTTGTGTGCTTGTTCATTTTTGTGTGCTTTTCCATTTTGAAAATTATTTGTAGGTCTAATCTAAGAATTAGGTTGTGGTGTCCTTGGCAGGTATTCAGTGGTGTTAGCTTTGCTTTTTTCCCTTTTCCCACCACATTTGTTTACAGTGTGGAAGTCATTCTAACAACAGGATTCCTAGAGGAAGACATCGTGATGTTTTTAAAAAGTAACTGGAGATTAATGGCTTGATAGGGATGGCTATTTAGAGGAATATTTGTATGCTTTGATGTTTTTAATGGCTTTTTTAAGAGTCTTTGAGGAATAATTATAATGCAAATTGTCACTGATTGGATCATGTTATTAATATGTTTCAAGTATGTGTAACTTAATGATAAATTTGCTGTTTACTAAATTAGTCTGTGTCAGACTGTGAGTTGTTGAATAGGGCTAAAGTTCCATAGCTCTGATGAGAGGTTTGTTGTAGGGAGGGATAGGAGTGTCCTGAGTAACAGAATTGTTTAAACAAAGAGATAAATCATCTAATGTACTCATCATGTCAGAATGTTTTTTCATGAGTATGTGGTCACATATACTACATGTTCAAACTGTTACTGTATTTTAGAGTTAATAATTTTAATCAGAACTATAAAAGGTTAGAAAAAAGCATTCCCGAATCTCTCTTTATATTCTTCTAATTGGCATCTATATGTGATTCCAAATGCTTGACATATATCATTAATGCATCTTTCTGACTCCATCTTTTAGGAATTACCTGTAGGCTTTGTATTGGCTTGCCCAGTAATGTTATTGTTTTCATCATGTGGGGAATGGATCTGATTCAAGAAAGGGACCCTTCCTGTATCAATTGATGACTGTTAATTTGGAATATAAAATGGAAAATTTTTGAATGTTGGTTGTCTTCAGGATTGATGACCAGCCTTCAAATAACTGACCAAATTCAGAGCCCACCTTGCCCATTCTGGCTTACTAATTTTCAACATAGAAATATGGTTATCCTGTCCTGATACCTGTCATCCATTTCATTAATAAAATAATCACTCATGTTGTTTTGGGTGTTTAGTCATAGCATAATACACTTTTCATTTTACACCCCCTTTCTTACTTACAGTAGACCCAAATGATTTGTACATCGTAGAACCCCTCAAGTTCTCTCCAGAGAAAAAGGTAATACTCGTTTTCTTTTGAAGTCTTTTGTAAGCCGTGTGTTAGTAAGTAAAAGACAGATACTGAAAATGTTAATATTTATTCCTTGGCATAATGTTTATTTTAATTTTTATTTTCCTTTTTAATTGTTTTGGGTGATTTTGTGTTTTTACATTTATTTAAGGTGTGAAGGCCAGATGCTGATAACTTGGAGAAGTCAGTTCTCCACCCTGTGAGTTATCAGCAACCAGTGACTTTACCTGCTAAGACATCTTGCTGGCCCTGCCTTTTTTTTTTTTTTTTTTTTTTTTTTTTTTTTTTTGAGACAAGTTCTCACTCACACTGTATTTTCTTGGACTATAATATGTAGCCCTGGCTGGCACCCACCTCACTGCAGTCCTCCTTCCTCTATCCCTCCTGCAAGGGCTGAATAATTGATGTGAGTGAGACATCATACTCAACCATAATGTTAATTTTCTTTCTTTTTTTTCCCCTTGGTTTTGTTTGTTTAAGATAAAGTTTTATGTATCACAGGATGGCCTCAAACTTGCTACGTGCCTGAGAATGACTGATTCTCTGTCTGCACCTTTGAGTTCAAATGCTAAGTTACAGACATGCATCACCATATTTTAAGCAGTATTCGGGATCAAACCTGGAGTTTCATTCCTATTGTACAAGCACTTTACTAACCGAATTGTCTTCTCAGTTCGTTTTCAGTTGTGATAATGGTATAAATAATATCTAGAGAGGTCATCAAACTGTAGCCTATTTTCTACATTATAGGAGTCAATAAGTATTTTCTCATTTTTAAAAGATTACAAAGTAAAAATCAAGAATACATTAATGAGATGTTTAAGAGGCCTGTGATGCCTAAATTATTATTATCCAACCATTTAGAGAAGAAAAGTGCTGATCCTTAGGTGAAAGTCATTATTTACTGAGCTTCTGATGCATGCCAGGCACAGTGCAAGCACTGTTCTGTAATCCTCTCAATAGCCCATTGGTGCTGACAACCCCATCTTAAAAGTTTCAGACTGGTTTACTTAGATGTCTCATTAGATAGTAGGCAATCTTTACGGTCTTGAGATTTTCAAACAAAGTTACAAACTGGGATGTCAGTGATTCCATCTGTTCACAACAGAAGAGTGGTGTGTGCGTGTGTGTGTGTGTGTGTGTGTGTGTGTGTAAAACACTGCTTTACTTCTCATAGGCAGTAGTACTTTCCTCTTTTATATCTCATATCTAATAAGGAGGAGTAATTTCTGTGCTTTCTTTTATTTCTGTTATAGAAGAAACGTTGCAAGTACAAAACGGAAAAAATTGAGACGATAAAGCCTGCAGATCCATTGCACTCTATAGCCAATGGAGACATAAAAGGAAGAAAGCCCTTTACGAACCAGAGAGATTTTTCTAATATGGGAGAAGTTTATCACTCTTCTTACAAGGGCCCTCCATCCGAGGGAAGCTCAGAAACTTCATCACAGTCAGAAGAGTCCTATTTTTGTGGCATTTCAGCTTGTACAAGTCTGTGCAATGGACAGACCCAAAAGACAAAAACTGAGAAGAGGGCTTTAAAACGAAGGCGGTCTAAAGTCCAAGACCAAGGAAAATTAATAAAAGCTCTTATACAGACTAAGTCAGGATCATTGCCGAGCCTGCATGACATAATCAAAGGAAACAAGGAGATCACCGTAGGAGCATTTGGTGTTACTGCAGTCTCGGGACATATCTAAAAGGAACTGGACATTTGTACTGAAGACTTTTTTTGTTGTTCTTTGGAGAACAGTCTGTGGTATTTGAAGGGTTTAGGGGAGGGGTAAAATATTGGGGAAAGTATTCAAAAAATTATGTTTTTTTGCCTTTTTAGAAAGGAAACAGGATTGTGTCAATCTTGGCTGATGAACTACAGTTTTACAAGACTGATCTCTCCCTATAAAGATGATAGACATTTTATAAAGATGTTTTTTTCACAGATAATTACTGGGACAAAAGTTAATTTGGAAGCCCAGTTCTTTGGGTGGGATAGGAATGAAAGCCTAAACCTCTTCCTTCAGCTTGGTTACTATTTCTTGCACCTTCCCATATTTATGTGCCTTTGTCTATTTATAATGCCACTGGAAGAGGAGGGAGGATTTTTTTGTCATTTGATTTGTTTTGTAACTTTATTAGGTTTTTGAAGCTGCAAACACTACAAGGCTTTAAGGTGGTCCGTGCCTGAAGCTCAGCATTGTGAGTCATTTGCATAAAGATCCTAAAGACTTGCCAACTTAGAGTTGCTCAGTAGTCTCACTGGAAATAAACACCTGAAATTTTCTTAAATCCTTTTCCATAAAAGGTGATGATTCATCCTTGCTTTCATTGAATTTAGTTGGATTGGGTTATTTGTTTTCTTGAGTTACTAACTCAGTGAAATGGTAAAATATTTTCTTGGGAATAACAGATACCAGAAAACAAATTTATTATAAATTCACCTTTCAACACACTTAACTGCTTGTGATGATTTTTTTACATTGCATTCTGAATGTTCACAGCAAACACTAATCCTCCAGATGTTCACATCACCAAGACCAGGTTTCCCATGGCCCAGTCACTGCCATTGTACATAGTCACAGAAGCAGCCAGTGAGTGTGTCAGGCCTTACTCAGTTAAATTGGTTAAGTCTAACAGGATTATGATTCCTTGATGTTTGCTTTTGTTGGCTACAATGTGCAGATATATATGTGTGAGGTGTCAGCGTCTGTCTCTGTTGGTCCCTTTTTCCCTTAAGAAATTGGCAGTGTCTGAGTAAATTGGTTTCTTGATGTGCGATTGTACAGAGATGAATGAAAGCGAAATGTGTTTCTTTCTGAGAGAATTGACCATTTTGTGTTGTAAAATTAAGTTATAACTTATTGAGCACTTTCGTTAATAATTGTTTTTAAATTTGTCTAGTACCTTTCTTGGTATTGTTTGTAATGTGATTTATTTAAAGCCTTTTTTTGTTTAAGTTGCTGCTTTAGGTTAACAGTATGTTTTAGGAGATGAACTTTCCCCCCTTCCCGTCTGCACAATTAGCTATTCAAAGCAACAGGACCTGAAGGTACAGCAGGTCCTTGAAAAGAAATCCAGATGAGAGCCAAGCTAGAGTGGTAAGTCACACTGTTGTGTGTTGTGAAGAGGGTTTTAAATATGTAACTACAAAGCTGTAGTACCACTAGAAACTGTGAATTTCCAAATAAATCTGAACACTCGTCTTTATTAATTATTGACTCTTCTGTCCTTTAAAAGGTTGCACACATTTATCACTCATAGATTTAAGCTGGTCTTTGTTTTCGTTTGCCATCTTTCAGGCTCACATTTCAGGCAACCATAATGTACACTTTCACTTAAACATTATGTTCCCTAATAATCATAGTTCACCTTTTCAAACACTAAAATTATGGTTCTAATAATAAGATGCATTATCTACCCAGAGAATTAAAATTTTAGTCTGCATCTTCTTTCTCTTTCAGAATACTACTACACATAAGAGGGAAAACAACAATAACCCAAATCTTTAATCAACCTTATTTTATTTGTGGTGCTAAGTAAGGTATTAAACCCAAATGAAATTTACTGAACTCAAGCAAAGTCAGTTCTTTGGGTTCTTAAAATATCTGTTGAGGGTTTTTTGTGCATATGATTTGAGGAATTGTATAGTTTTTACAAAGCTTGTGCAGAGGTACAACATTTTCTCCCTCGTGCTGTCTCACCTACCTCTCGCCCCAGCACATCTTCTCCCCAGCAGCATTTAAGTCCCAGTGCCTACCTTGTGTCAATCATATGCACACAGGAGCAGGCATAAGACAGATGTAAACCTGTATTTGTTTACCTAGTCTAATGATCCAGTTTAAACCCACAGTAAATAATATAACTTAGAAATAGTTCTTCTTAAACTATATTTTATTAAATAGGTATTAAGACCCTGGCATGCTTTTATTCTACTGTAATCTGAGAAATTTTGAAACTATGAAAAAGTACCATAACCCATATTTACCAGTTGTTTTTCGTTTTCTTTATGTTTATATATGTATGTCTGTATGTATATATACACACACACACACACACACATATATGGACATAGATGCAATATATATTATGGGTATATGGTATGTGTGTATATGTAAGACATTTGGTAGATGTGCTGGGACATATTGGTACATCATAACCCTTCATATTGGATAATTTCGTGTGTTTTCTAGAATATTCACCTTACATGACTATATTATTCAGGATTCTCTAGAGTAACAGAATTTATCAGATGAGTCTTTATATTTAAAAAGGGATTTCTTAGAATGATAGGTTGTGGTCCAGCTAATCCAACAATGGTTGTCTATGAACAGAAGAAGTTCAAGAATACAATAGTTCTTCAGTCCATGAAGCTGAATGTCTCAGCTGGTTTTCAGTATATGCTGGAATCCTGAAGAGGATTCTCTAATGCCAGTGAAGGAATGGACTTGTTAGCAAGGCAAACAAAAACAAAACAAAAAAAAAGGCAAAGCAAAAGATTCCTTATATTCCAGAAGAAGGCATGACCCAGGTTAGAGGTGAGTCTTCCTACCTCCAAAGATTTAAGATATGTCATATCAAGTAGAGTTCTCTCACAGGTATGCTCCTCCATTTTTGGGTTTTAGTTAATTCCAGATGTAGTCAAGTTGACAAACAAGAATAGCCATCACAAGTCAATCCTTTGACAGTTTGGCATACAATCATATATCCTTGTGATTAATTTCCAAATGAAAACAATAACAAGGTCATAATTACACCTAAATTGATAGAACTATTCCAAATATCATTGCATATGAATTATATATTTAACCAAGTCATAGTTACACCTAACATGATATAACTGTCCCTCATATAACCACAAATGCATTATAAATTTAAACTAGGTGTCAATGTCCCTTGAGGGAACATAATTTTAGTATATAAAATATAACCATTGATATTCTTGTAATTGACATTACATCACATGATAAGGAAAGAAAACACAAGTATCTGTA